GATAAAGCTCAACTGGCACGTGGTCAACAGTGTTAGGGCAGGTTAAACCAAACCAAACCAGAGCAGGCCAAGATGCCAAGTAGAGGAAAGAACCGTCACCCAGAGAGAGAGAGAGAGAGAGAGAGAGAGAGAGAGAGAGAGAGAGAGAGAGAGGGAGAGGGAGAGAGAGAGAGAGGGTGAGATGCTGTTAAGATGAAGGAGGTCAGGTGGGAGGTGTCTGCTTTTGGTTGCGGTCCTGCCCTGACTCATTGTACGAATGTCAGGCAGCAGGTATGAATAGCAGAGCTGCCATAGTGAGAATTGTTTAACATGACATGTTTGATTTGTGTGATATATTTAAAGAGAGGTCATCATTGTCGTGCGCTCTGGAGATGAATATGGATCTGCCGTGTCTCTGAACTGCTCTCATAGGTACTGTAAAATGACAATACACACGTCTTCCTGTGCTGGGTTTTTGTTTAGCATGTGGGCGTCCATGATCCTCATGTGGTAATTTATTGAATCAAAATAGCAAGCATTTTAGTTCCTTTTGACACCTGTGAAACCATCAAAGTTTTAACAGGGTGGAAGAAGCATTGGTTCTTATATTAACTAAACCTGACTATTTAACTGAGCCAAATCATTTTTAAATGATACTTAAAGTGAATTTTTGATGTCTAGGGGAGTTCTGTTACAAAAACATGATGAATCAGTAAGTTTTTAATTATGCCTGAGTGTGTTCAGTTGGCTGGATCGACAGTTTAACCACCTACATTTTGTACTTCATGAAATGCTCCAGATGTTACTGTAATGTGGTATGTGCACCACATGCCTATGTCATATTACACTTGCACATGCATTATGTCATATGAAGAGCAACATGGATCTTATTTCTTCTGGGTAGCTAAATAACTTTTGATTGATATAAAAGCCTCACATGTGATCTGATATAAAACTTTAAAAAGTGACGTTTTAAAAAAAAAAACTGTTTAAAAAAAAATGGTGGCCTAAAAAAAGTAAAACACATTTAAATTCTAGAGCTAAAATCAGATCTTGAAAATATATATTTGATTTTATTTCCTATATATTATATTATATCATTTCAGTGTCATTGTAATGGTATGCATATGATGTGTGTATAATGGTTTATATTTTTACATATCAAAGAAAATGCAACCCAGCCTCATCATAGACATCTTCACGCACTCTAAAGTCTTTGTACACAGATAACGAGAGTTGCTAGAAATAAGACCATTTATTTTTAGTTTGGGTGTTGCTTTTCTCACAGCTGCCAAAATTGTCTCAAACTAATATATACGTGAATAGTTATTTATTTGGCTGTGAGAAATAAAAATCTACTAAATAGCACTGATAATATGATATAACCATTATTTAGCTTTTATGTAACGCTCATAAAGTGTAAAAATCAACAGCAGTGTAATAAATACATTGTGCGGTAAATTGGGCCTGGCCTTGTTTGTTGCTGTTTAAAACCAAAAGAAACAAACAAGGTAATTTCTAGGTAATTATTGCGTGCTTACCATTTAGCCACATAATTACTAAGTCAATACCAGATCACATATGTGCATCGTAAAATAAACTGCAGCTTAGTGTGTTGCTGTACAGTGGATGCCCTCTGGCATATAAACAGTGACGAATTAGACAGGACGAGAACGGAAACTGTCCCTGTGCTGTTGTGAGCCAGTGCTAAAGAAAGGTTGAGGAGATTTTATTTTTCTTTATCTCAAATGACTTTTTTTTTGTTGTGGTTTCTATTTTAATGTGGCTATATAAAAATTATTTCTTTCTGTGTCACAAACATGTGTGCTTATGAATTTATTCAAGCGTGATCTGTCTCTGATTGTGTTCCGGAGAACTGACTCAATGATGTAAATAATGAAATAACTACTGTTGGTCATCGTTGTTTTAGGCTTCAGATCACAAGCACCCAGAATATAAAAGAAGAGAAAACTGTGTGTTTTCTCAGAGTGAAATTCTGCATTTCTGACTATAGTGCCCTGAGCTGGAAAACGTAGACATCTCTCTGGCAGGCAGTCTTTCACTCATTCAGTTCAGTCACTGTCAGCGAGGGAGAGCGACAGGCAGATTAAAATAGTGCTGCAGTGTTTGATCTGAGCGCAATGTTGTTGTCAAACCATCAGAAAGAGTCCCCAGAAGACCAAGTGATCGACAATGTCAAGCATGATGCAGCACAGTTCGGTTAGCACTCTCTGGATATGACTCACGTTCTTCCCACGCACACTACAGTGCATGCACAATAGCAGTGTACTGTTCTCTACTGTGCTGTGCTGTGTGTTCTCTGGTGTTCAGTGTCTTACAACAAATCACACATGCCTAAAACTCTTGCACATTGCATGAATGCATCACTCTTGAGCTCATTTGTACCTTGACACATAATCTCTACTTGCAGGCAATCCCAAACCTCCTGCGCCGTTCAAAGGTTTAGCTGTCCTGCTCCAACAAAAAAAAAAAAAAAAGACCTATTTGAAGGATGCAATCGCTATCCAAATAAATAAATCACCAGGCCTGATAATGAAAGCCATCCCTGCGCGGTGCGGCTTTAATGACAGCACGTATAGACTCAGTGTCACTCACTGTCATGGGAGAGAAAATTAGAGCCAATTTGATGCTAATCTGGACCAGATTTTTCCCTTTTCAGGCCCAGCGGTATATCCTATCATCCCAGAGAGCTCCCCGCAGGGCCGCTAGCTCAACCTCAACTACATAATATAACTTCATAACTGCCTCCTGTAATGGGGCACATTTGATGACCAATTTCACCCCCCATAAGAGCAAGTCATTCCTCCCCATGCTGGTAGAGCAGCACCGCATGCATTGGGTGAATGGCCTCGGGTGAATCAGACTTTTTGCATGAGTGCAGTCTGTACAGGGGTGTACTGAAGCTGGGGCAGGACATACAACCTGCTGATACAAACAGATACAACATGTAGGTGTTACAAGCTTCATGTACTCATCAGAAGAATATGTGTAAATTTTACACGCTGACTGACACAGTGTTTGTGATTGTGGGCCACCCCCCTCTGCAACACCGGGCCCCTTTTTGTTTCTCTCAGTAGCAGAGTGAGTGTGTGTGTTATCCGTGTGTGTGTGTGTGTTTGAGTCTGATAAATGTAGAGATGGCAAGGTAGATTAGCGAAAATGTCACCCCCAGTGTACAGTCACAGGCCTTTGTCCCTTGCGAGCTGTGGGTCGTAGCTGGATGTGAAGGGGCGTTGAAAGCAAAATACTCAATCACTGGGTCCACTAGCCAGGGAGGGTGGTGGTAGTTGGAGCGACTCAAACAAGAATGAAAATCTTTCAGAGTGACTGAGTGTTGTTTTGACAGTTTAATGAGTAAACTTTGTTTGTGTTTTGTGAAATGTAATGATCTGTGAAACTTTATTTTCGCTCTGATCTGATGAAAAAAGGCACGACAGAAGGGAGGAAAATTCATTTAAACTAAATAAGAAGCATGACAATGTTGCACTGCGACCTTCATCGCGTACTGATTAGAAATCTTATTTTCACAACAACACGAAGAGAAGAATCAGCGCTCTGTATGTTGGCACAGTCCTTGCTCTCCCCTCGACAACGGTTTGGCTTTCCCCTGATGATATATTTCAAAGGCACTGGCAAGGAATCTATTTGTGTTCTTAAATGGTCATTACTTGGTTGTGATGAGATATTGCCAATCAGTGAGAGGAAAACAGAGAGTCCTCAAAAAAAGCCTTGGAAATGAGAGCCTACAGCTGAAATCCCAGGCATGTGTTTGTGATTGTCATTTATTGTCTTTGCCATGGGAAAAAGTAACGCGCCTCTCCAGTTTTGCTGCAGTCTGGGCACCGAGGGTACACTTTTAAATTACAATATGCTATCTATCTCTTCTTCTCACACCCTTGCCACATTGTCATGCGTTGTAGAAGTCACACAGGCTACCATACATGTGTAAAAAAAAATATAAGTTAGACACAAAAAATATTTTTCCAATGTCGCACAAATTATATTAAACTAACAAAAAGTAAATATTGTAAATTATACTGATTAATGAAAAAAAAAGCTGTATTTTATTTGATTGACATTTGATCACAACAGATACATTTCCAGTTTGCCTTCTTAATCATGACTGTAATTAAATACAAGTATATTTTGTATTTAATGTATCTATTGTCATTTTTAAATTTTTTTCTCCCAATCAGTTTCAAAATGAAAGCCATGCTTCACTCTCAGTACTGTCAGACTAAAACCTTCACTTTGAAATTGAATTGAAATTACCATTAATACTTCGTATTTCTCTCTGATGTTTTATATTGTGGGTGAGGGCTCAGTAAAATATTTGAAATAGCGTCATTTCTAGTTGGGACCTTCCTTTTCAAATTCTTCTTTGCAGAATTGTGTTGCATGCTGGACATGTCTGCTCGCATTGATCATTATCCACACATCAAACCACATAAAGCCATATGAAAACTCTCATGATAAGAAACACGCTGAACAAGTTAACATCAAGACAATTTCATTCCTCTTACTTACTGAAATACAAAAAAAATAGCTCTGAATTTACAAAACATTTTTGAATTTCTGCTTGTGTTTTTCCCCCGTTTGGTTTCAGTTCCTGACATATTTTCTTAAATCATGTAGCATTGTCTCTGGTTTCCATTGGTTATAATCTACAGCTCCAATAACTTAATATCATCTGAAATGATAAGAAACATATGTCCATTGCATTATGAATCATGTCTGAAAAAGTAAATATATATTTGGACACCACAACAAACTATTTGGCATCTCATACAGCATAAAGTAGATTAAAGACACGTGTTCATGATATTTGATTTTTTTTTTTAACATACCTGAAAATACAACATAGTATTGCAAAATCAGATGTCCCTAATAAGCAAACTGAACATTTAGTGCAGCACATTTCAACATGAACATTAAGTCAACCTGAGCCTGTGTCTCAGTTCCCCCTTAAACTTTTCTTTTTTTTACTTTCCGCCTCACAGTGGATGCTGAGCAAGTGACTTCACTGGGATCTGAGGGGGAGGATGAGGTGGGCCTGTGGAGCCTGGAGCCCCAGGACTTCCAGGAGAGCCTGGACAAGACAAGCCTGACGCCCAGCGAGGGGACGGAGGAGCCCGGCAGTCCAGCTCGCTCCACGCGGCCGCACAGCCTCAGCCCCGGCAGCAGGAACTACTGGGTGCAGGTGGAGCCGGAGGCCGAGGCTGCTGAGGACACCATCACTGCATCCACCACTGATAGGGAAGACCAGGAACCACTAAGGATGTACTGTAAGTTATAAGCTAAACTCAAACTGTAAACTTGTAAAGCCCTTTTTTTCTTTTCTTTTTTTAAAAACAACCCTGTATTTGTTTCTGAAGAAGTTCGGCCTTGCCAAAAAAGTAGCAGAGCAATGTGCGTGTAAAATGTATACTGTATGAGACTGCTTTGTAGGCCACTACAGTATGTGTAAACAAGTTTACAGTGTTTTTCTGACGCAAGACACCTCCAGTCTCATGCTTCTCAAAGCCCTCTAGATACACCTTCATATCAGCTCCTTGTGAAACCATGCCTTCCCTGAGAGGCTGTTCCTTTTTTTCACTGTTCTCTTTGAAAAGGCAGCCTTCTGAAAGCATGACAAAAGAACTCATCCCACACAATGTCACAATATTTCCATGCATCAAAGAGGTGACGTTACGGTACTGAAATCAGCACTGTGCGACGTGAGGCTTTCCCTTTTATTTAAGAGAGATCAAAGGCTCACGCGGCTTGCCTACTAACAATCACTTAGCTCCCTCGCCTCGTGTGATTCGGCCTTGCCTGATGAAGGCAAAGCTGAGTTTTTACAACACTCAACCACACAGGCTCTTCCCTTCACCACATTAAAAAACAGCTCAAAATATGCCAACATCTGCAAACATTTGAAAAATCTTCCTCAAAGTCGCTGTACGCAGAGCTGGCTGGCTTGAGATAGGAGACACCCTCTCTACTTCATGTACATCTGTGGCTTTTTCCTCTCTGCCTGCCTGTCACCGCACTCAAGGGCACAAATGAGAAAGAATTCTTAAAATCTCGTCTCGTTCTGGCCAACTAGCTCCTCGCATTTATTGTTTTATCTGTCAGTCTTTTTTAAGTAAACAATTTAGTCCCATTAGATTCAGTTGCACAGAGTCACTTTTACAATTTATCCCAACTCGCGCACTTTACACTCATGGACATATGAACAAAGCATGTACATGCACAAAGACAGGGAGCTAACACTTTCTTTACAATTTAATTTAGCACATAGTAAAAGTAGAAAATGTAAAGGATCGACCACACTGATGTACCCACTGACAAGAATGCTGATCATCTTGTGAAATGTTGAAGTGAAAAGGCTTTTAGAGATGTCTCAAGGTAATGATTCATTTGTGAATCTGCATCTGAACTGGATATTGCTTAAAAGCAAAACTAGCACAATATTTTCTTTTGTGTAATGTGTCTTTCTGTAAATATGGGGAACCTGCCTTGACACTTTCCTTATAGTTCTTGTTGTCTGTGTTGTGTTTACTGTCATTGAGTGGCTTTTCTTCTGTTTTCTTGGCCCGGATTTTTAATGAAACTTTAATGACACACAGGAAAAAAGATTCTTGCAGCAACGCTAATATTTTCCTGCAAATGTCTGTAATCAGGCATGTCTGCGTGTATCAAGAGTTATGTATAACATTTTACAAAAAGCCAGTTTAGTTGTGCATAAGAACTAACAGCTGGTTAAAAATTAATATATAGATATTTATAAATATTTCACTTTTTTTTCACTTTTTCTCTGGTCCCCAGGTAAGAACTCAGACTCCCAGAATGCCTTGGAGGACCTGGCTAACTATGCATTTCTGGCCCAGCTGAAGAAGACCTCTACCTCCACCAGTTTCTCGGACCACCTGAGCCACAATGGCACAGCAGCTGTGTACCACCAGGGCAGCAGGCACGATGATCTGCCGCCTGCTATCTGGTCACCAGGAGCTCAGCACCACTCACCCGAGGGAGCAGGTACACTAACGAGGCAACATCTGCAATCATATTAAATAGAAAATGAACTAATCTGATATGGCTGCTCTTGAGCCAGGCAGCGTGCAGTTACTTCTAATGAAACGTGCAGCTGCAGACTGACAGTTAATAGTGGTAAGAACATATCAGATTGTACATGCTAATGTCATTCTGAGAAAATGAAAAGGAAAACAAATTGACTTATCAGCCACTAATGGCTTTGCCTGACAAGGGCTAATGCATTTCCACATTTAAGCTTACATAAAAGGTTTGCGTCATAGTTTAGTTGTTTATTCTATCACCATGCAAACATATAAAATAACTTCACTTGATCAAATAAAAATATGGGTTTCAAACAATACTCGGTGCACAATAATAAAACAATTAAAAATAGCATTGTCATGTTCCAATATTCTCCAGTATTTTTAAGTAGGTAACATACTTAAGACTTTCTTGCTTCTACCGAACAAAGATCATCTGAGTTGAATTTCTCTCAGTTAGGAGGATTTAATAGTACAAGTTTTTCATTCTGTAGGCCACTGACACACAAGTAGGTGTTGTTCAGCTGGTGTAAGACTCCATCTTCCTAGTTCAACATGCAAATGGATGGATGCATGGATACAGTATATTTCATGAATGCAAGAACATCTCCATGCTCTGTTTAAAATGTCACCTCTCCCTCCGGACTCTAGATGCAGGGAGGACCCAGCAGGTTTGCCCGTTCTGCCACAGGATGTTTCAGCGTGGAGCGTCTTTGAGGGATCACATCAAGTACTGTCAGGAGAGGGAGGGGGGGCACATGGTCTGTCCACTCTGTGGATACACTGCCCCCCATAGGGCACAGATGGAGCAGCACCTGGCACTTCACAATCAAATGCAGGACAAGGTGAGACACAGAGAGAGAGAGAGAGAGAGAGAGAGAGAGAGAGAGAGAGAGAGCAGGATAAACTTTCACAACCACCATCAGGGCAATATGGTTGTATATTGTTCTCATTTAGTGTTACATGGTTACATTTTGTAACTTGTAAATGTCAGAAATAAATAACCTTGTAGAAATGGCAGCCATATACTTCTTCACACCTTGGAATTGCTCCCTAAATGTGTTCCAGTATAAAACTAATAACAATGTCCTGTCTTCCCAGAATCCCATCACGCTGGATCAAAGCATGGAGACCAGGAAGTTTAAATGTCTGCAGTGTGGGAAAGCATTCAAGTACAAACACCACCTCAAAGAGCATCTCCGCATCCACAGCGGTGAGACAAAATAACATCAAAAACTTGTACTCACCCATTAATTTGCTATTGTTTCCACTGTATCACTAACCCTTACTTACCATGTCAGTTATATATGGTATGAAATTATACCCAATTTGATTTGTGTTGACAGAAAATGAGTTGAAATAGTTTATGACAGAACAAGAGCATTATGAAAAATTCTAAATGATCACACCCTTGCACTAAGTATTTTCAATCCGCCCCTTTTGACTAATGCCTCCTCTCTGTGTTTTATCCCTCAGGTGAGAAACCTTACGAATGCTCCAACTGCAAGAAACGTTTTTCTCATTCTGGCTCCTACAGCTCCCACTTAAGCAGCAAGAAGTGCCACAGTGGTGGTGGAAATGGAGGGGGAAATACAGGAGGAGCCGGCGGGGCATTTAATGGACATAGCCAAAGCCCCTACCACCACTCATTTCTACCGTCTCCCTCTGCAGGCGGGGGGAGAAACAGTAATGACAAGGGCTCTCCGTCGGCTTCACAGAACCAAGATAACTCCAGGTCTCTGGGCCGAGTACCAGAGGATCCTCACCAGCTTTTACTGCAGGAACCCAACCAGAACCCTGCCGCCTTCCCCCGAGCTCTGGATCTGGCTCGATTTTGGGACACCTCATCAGAGCTGTCTCTAAGGGCCAGTATCCTAAAAGGGACCACCCTGCTGCCCTTTACTTACTCTGGGACCAAGTTTGAGCAGATGCTGCAGGAGATGCTTCACAGGGAGGTGAAGACAGATGAGGAGATAGAAAGAGGAGGGGGCGCTGCAGCAGAGGAAAGGAGGGTGATTCACAACGGAGGAGGGCCTGAGAGGAAGATGTCGCCTGACAGAAGGAGAGAGTCTGTGAGGTCAGGTGAAGGGGAGAGAGGTGTGCTTGGAGTGACGTGTCGCTGGTGCTCCCAGCTTTTCCCTAATGTGGCAGTGCTCCTGCAGCACGAGCGCTACCTCTGTAAAATGAACCGCGAGGCAGTGGAGGTGCCTGAGGGTCTTCGCAGCAAAGACCACCCTTCGTCACCTTCATTCTTCCCCATATCTGCCCTCCAACTGGAGAACAGCAAACCATGTAAAGTAACCAATGGCCTCTCTGGAAACAAGTCACCACTGCAGAAGCCCAGCTGGCACTCTGTCCCGCAGCAGCTTTTGGTCGCGATGCACTCTCCCACACAGCCCCGCCACGACGCCCTGTCCTCACGTGCCTATTGGTCGGTCCAGGAAAAAGGAAGCCCGAGCCAACCAGTCAACCATTCCCCAGAGCTGTCATCACCCAGAGCCAGAAGAAGAGTTCCCTCCTCAGGATTCGGTTCTCCCATCTGCCTCGACCTCACCACCTGTCCTCCTGAAATCTCCTCACCTCAGAACCAGACCGGCAGCCCCTGGTCCACGCAGAACGAACCTCTGGACCTCTCCCTGCCCAAGCAGCACTCAGAGCAAGAGGGGAGGAACAAAGCTGTCAACGGCAGCTCCTCAGCCAGAGGTGAGAGGAGAGAGCTTGGGACCCAGCATCTTAAGAGACTTCGTTCCAGCTTAAGTCCAACTTCACATCTAGCCCTTCACCACCACCCGGTCTACAGCGGGGCCGCAGCTCCTGTGTTTCCAGGCTCATTGTACAATGGTTTTCCTATCTTCAGCCAGTCTGGTTTAGGGCTTTCAGGACACGATGGCATCACAACAATTCCATTCGGCCAGCCAGCGAATAGCCCTGGGTTTCTCTCTCCTATGGCTTACATGATGGAGGCAGACACAGAGGCCACACTGAAAAAGATCCACCAGGAGAGACATGCTCTCATGGTGAGTAAGGCTTCTCTTTGAGGTTTAAACAAAGTACATAAGAAATTCATAAATTATCTCATATAACATATTGAGGAATTAAAAATGTGTAGAATTAAAGTAATAACCCATGCAAACTTGTACATACTGTACAGTCATAATCTACATGTTTTCTTCACAGGGTGAGGTGTTAGGCCGTGGCGCCCTGGACTACCTCTCTCTGATGGATGAAGGTCTGGAGGGAGAAGGCGGGCCAGGGAGGAAGAGACTGAAGAAGACAGACGAGGGGCTGTATGCTTGTGACATCTGTGAAAAAACCTTCCAGAAGAGCAGCTCTCTGCTCCGACACAAATATGAGCACACAGGTCTGCAGCTTATGCACTGTCTGCAAAAAAAACCCCCCAAAAAAAAAAAACACTTTAACTATGTGCCATTTCCTGTGGCTTATACATTACTATTATATTTGTAAAAAAAAAATGCTTAAAGGAATAATTTGACATTTGGGATAAACCCCTTGTTTGATGTCTTTCTGAGAGTTAACTGATAAGATCAGTACAACTGTTTGATGTAAGGGGTTTATCAGTGAAATTGAGAGTTGCTGGTAAGCAGACTTTGTTACCTTTGGACAGAACCAGGCTAGCGATTTCCCATTGTTTCCCTTCTTTGAGCTAAGCTAAGCTAACCATCTCCTGGCAATTGATTCATATTAACCTCACAGAGCATGTTTCTCAAAATGTCAAACTATTGCTTTATAAATGTTTATGATTAAACAATACAGACCTTTAAACAGTTTTCAGTACATTAAAAGTCTCAAATGTCTTTTCTATTTAAAAAAAATAGTTCATGGTTTTTTAAAATAGGATATTAGAAGTAATTTCTCTGTATTCATCACAGGCAAGCGTCCTCATGAGTGCAAGATTTGCAACAAGGCCTTCAAGCACAAGCACCATCTGATTGAGCACAGCCGGCTGCACTCTGGAGAGAAACCCTACCAATGTGACAAATGTGGCAAGCGCTTCTCTCACTCCGGCTCTTACTCCCAGCACATGAACCACCGCTACGCCTACTGCAGCAAAGACCAGGATCCAGACCAAGACCACGAGGAAATGCCTTTCACCCCGGGGTCAGGAAACATTCTCGGGGGGCGGCTCGCCGATGAGACCCCCCTGTCCATGGAGGATACTCAAACTCCACACTCTTTCCTCAGTGATTCCAGTCTGGATGGAGCTCCAGAGGCCCTCAAAGAGGAGGAGGAGGATAAAGAGGCAGGAGTTAGCGATGGTCATATGGAAGAGGCACATGAGAGTTTGTCAGGGGAGCAGTTGGAAGGTAGCCCCGTCCAAGAATCACCTGCAAGGGAGCATGGAGAGCAGCATGAGAGAAACAGTTGTGATGTGGGAAACCATATTGACAGTGTGGAGAGACACATGTGGGACCGAGACACTGAGGACCAGAGTGAAGACTTGGACAAATGTGAACTAAGCCTGGAGATAACAGATTTACCCAGAATAAAAACTTAAGGTAACTTTAACAAGCTAATACAATGCATATACTGTATATATTGAGAATTTTAATATTTCTTTCTCTCTTATATATATAATAGCCCCATTGACTTTTTTTTTTTTTTTTACTCACAGTATTTCACAACATGAAAATGCACAGAACTGCCAAAGCATAGATGGCCTTAAAGTGGATCAAGCCATACAAATAAAATATATGTGACAATACAAATTGTAGTATTTCATCATGGAAAATAGACTTGATGTACCGTCAATGTTTTTGTTTATTTTTTATATAAAATATATATATTTTTTTTTTTTTTTTCTTGAGAGCTAAAACATTCGGGTTGACTTATCTGAGGTCATGTCACATATCCAGATGTGGTATTGCAGAAATCTTCCTTTTTATATGCTTTGCTGCTGCTGACTGTTGCACAACCCATAAAGCAGAGACTTTGTTCGAAGCCTTTCAAGCCTTTATGTTTACATGTAGATGCACACCAGTGAGCGTGTGAGGAAGACAGGTCCTGAAGGAATTGCTTGTGTGACTGATGGCAGGAAGGAAGGACATCTACTGTTACTTTAACCTGCCATCAACGTTAGAGGTTACAGATGAAGCCATATCAACAGAATCACCTGATGCCTAGTTAGTATATTTATTCCTCTTAATAAGTGAGAGGAACATTCACTTTTGAATATCCTGTGGTGTATTTTGCTACAAATATTTACCTCTATTTTAAGAATTAGCAATAACTGTAAAAATGTTTTCAATTCAAACACACATGCAGCTATTACTTTGTCCCAAAGCCAGTGAGTGCTTGAGTATATACAGTGGGAGTTATCGTTGCCAGGATGTTTGTTATTCATGCTGTGAAATCACAAGGTAAAACCAACTCATCTCTTCAGGTTAACTATGGTGCTGTGGCTTTAATTAATCAGCAAACCTATTCAGTGTTTAGAGCGAGCAGAAGAAAGAGGAAGAACTGGAAGGCGGTTGTTTATTTATTTTTTATAAGCAAAAAGCAGTGGACTGCACCTATTTAATTGTATGCCTTTCTAGGGGGACAGTCATTTCTGCATTTGTGTATGGGAGGTTAAAAAGGGTGAAAGTCTTTGGGGTTATATTTCCTTTGAGGGAGCAAATAAAACTTGCACTGTCTCCCTGTTTGTGTAATGATCATACGGAGCTGCTTTATTTCATTTAATGCTAAAACGTCTGCTATTTCTTGTAATAGTTTACATGTGCTGCAGCGGATTTTCACACTTCTTGAAGATTAATGTGTCACATGTTCAGGCTGTCTGTTGAGGTGTGGCGAGGGGGTCAAGACTCAGGACACACATGCCAGTTTTTAACTTCCTCTTTCTGACTGCAGTGTAGTCAACGTGAAAAGTGCCTCAGATGTACTCAGACACTGTGAGTAAGCCGACAAAGCCTTGGTACGATGAGATAAGATGGTGGTGCATGAGGTGTGACTAAGCTTGTAGCATTCATGCATACAGTGTGTCAAAGTCACTTCTTGTTCATAATGTGTGTGTGTGTGTGTGTGTGTGTGTGTGTGTGTGTGTGTGTGTGTGTGTGTTTATCACCAAAGATGTGCATATGTGGCATGCCAACTGTCACCCTACTCTTGCATAGTTCCTTACCTGTTATATCTGTGTGAAAAAATAGAAAAAAAAAAACTGTTTACTTTCATTCAATGTCTGCACACCTTTTTATGTTAAGCAGTATTTTAATTTTTTACTGGCACAGATGCAACATTTGTATTAACTTTTTATATATTTTTTTGCATGTTTGTGGATATTTGTAATAAAATTGTACATATTTTTACACCAGAATTTTGCATTTCATTGATTTTTGATTGAGTTTTCTAATGTTCTTATTTATAACCTCATGATACAGAGTTTGTGAGACTGAAAATAAAGGCCTTACAAGTTTAACAACATGCTGGACAAAGACTTAATTATAAACAGTTGAAGGTAATTTTGTTTTAGAGGCTATTAAATATGTAGAATTATTGAGTTATGTAACATCAGAAGGGGCCTTAAAGTGTAATCTTAAATATATCACACAATCAAGTCATCAAATGCCATGGCTTCTTGGATTTTCGGTGTAAACACAAACATCCGCCAACAAACAACACTTCTGAAGCTCGGCTGTGGCCTGAGCCACTCAGTTTCCCATCACAGTAAACACTTCCCATCACCACACTTGATCTGCAGACTGCTTTGTTACACTAACTTTTTTTTTTGTGGCTCTGTATTTGCATGATGATTCATCAGAGGTGGCTGCTCTGTGCCTGTGGCTGGGGCATTCAGGGGTTGAGCAGCTCTGCTGATATTTGATACGCTCAGCTTTAGGTTAACGATAGGTTGAGTAAACCATCAGCTAACCGTAACACTAATAAAACCATGTCGGGTGACATAGGTAAGACAGTTTTGCTTCAGCCCAACATTTAGTCAACTGTAGCATCAACAACCGATGATGTCATGACATTTGTCCCGGACTTGACCATGAGTAAGGTGACATTTAATGGAGAGCTGCCTTGACTTAGTCAGACAGCAGCATCAGTATCACTTGCAACACGCCGCGAGTCTCATCCATGAGCAACAGGTTGTCAGACCGGGTGCTGAGCATTTTTAAGTTTCGATTCCCAGTAATAACAGAGTAGCAGAGAAACGGGCCTTAGAATGAACACAGCTGCGGATGTATGTCACTGCTGGGTAGAGAAACTGTTCCTCCACCAGGTTAAGGCAATTGTATTCGGCACATGAATTCCCCATAGGGGATGAATAAAGTATCTATATATATATCTATCTATTTATTATCTTGCTGAAATGTCTTTTCATTCATTCCACCTTTGTTTATACAGGTGTGGTCCAAATCCTAGATAAGTTTGGAAAATGGACCACTGAGCACATGAAGATGATGCTGCCTATAGGGCCAGCTATAGCAGTTTAGTCTACACAGATACAAGTAGATGTAATGTATCTGCTCTTTGCTTGGGTGAGAGAAGGAGTTAAATGTAGCTTAGATGTACGTTTGATCGGGGCAAGCATCAGACAGCAGCATCAGTATCACTTGCATCACCTGTCATGTGGCCCAGTAGATTTATGACTCCACAGTCTGATACCCAGGACAGAGCCTAAAGAGAAGTCAAAACACTCACCTAACATGAATACTGGGCTTCCGTACGAATGCTTACCTGACTTCTGGCACATTTTTCTGACCTATATGGTTGTTTAAGTCGAAAGACTTGTTGGGGTACAAAACCCAAGAGTTAGACAACCATAAAACTTCCAAGAATGCAAATAAAGGGTAAGGATGAAAGGAGAGAGAGAGGATGTAAAGAGGGACATCAAACAGGATGTGATCAAAATCCAACTTAAATTTACAGATCTACAGCTCACTCGGATTTAAACATTGCAGATACAGGAACAGCTAATGGTGGACTCAATTAAATGTTTTAAATCTGCCATTGAAATCAGGTGATTCAGCTTTAATTCCTGCTGAAATGTATTCTTTGAGCAAGATATTGATCGAGCGTGATTCTCCACAGACAAACTTCTCTCCTCTCCTCTCTTCTCTTTGCTCAATTGTTCACAACTAAACAAAAGACAAAAGCTGTGATGTCCAGAAACACAAAGGGCAGATTTATGCCATATTATGACCTAACAACTGTGCTTCTTTCTCCAAGAATAAATCATACAGATTCGTTTAATTACACTTTCAAAACAGGTTCATTTAAGCGTGGACTATTAAAATTGAATTAGTTTTGAGAGTTACTTGGATGAAAAACATTTCACAACCTTCTCATTCTTTTATTTCCACAAATTTCAATGCTGAAAAACATTTTTGTGTCAGTGTTGCAGCAAACAAAATAACTACCTACAGATGCAAAGAGGTTTTGAACTAATGTTGGGCTATTTATCTCATCAGTCCATGCATCAAAAATCTGTAGTTGGGAGCAAATTTATCAATCTCGTCTGCAGCAGGGATATACAGCGGCACATTTGTATATTTTGTATTGTTTAAAATTTATCACTTTAAAAACAATCAGTGCGAAGTCAAATGAAGGTCAAAGAAAGAGAGAAAAAGAAAAAGAAGAAAGCGGAAAAAAGCAGCACAAAAAGACAAAGTAATTGGGTTTGACTTTCACTGCCAACACACTGCTGATTAGGAGGGTGGAGTGTTTGATTGTGTCTCTTACAGACTGATTCTAATTTTAGGGAGTGATTAGCACCACCACACCGAAGTGAAATAAAACATCACAGGGCTAGAGTCTACAGAAGGTTTACTCCACTGCCTTTTTATTGACGGAATATCCCTTGAGCTTCAGAATTTGTAGAATGAACAAAACTATACTGTAAAACTACTTTGAGAAATATTGAATGAATTTAGGTTTTCAGGCTGTGATATTTGTTTCGCATAATGTAATGAATAGAAACATTATATGATATGAGGAGGTTCTGGGACATTCAGCTGTCAAAAGACAAGAGAGAAAGTACAAAATGACGGATGTATAAAGTAGATAACTGTGATGACTATGCGCACACACGCATTCGGATCAAATAAACAAGCGCAGTTTGTCTATTTAAGTAGAAAATATTTCTGTGTCAACGACCTTGGACAAGCACACAATGATCAAAAGTTCAGATGACTCTCCATCAATCAGCTACACATCATTCTGGCCCCTCCTCGCACACTCACATGACTTGAAATAATACGAGCATAAAAATGAATAAATACATCTAATAAAACTTTGCAAATTCTGTGAGCCCCCCCCCCCCACCGTGCCTCTTTTCTGCTCTTTTTTGTCTTTTGCCAAACCCACAGTCAATATAAAATTACCAAAGCCACAGAGTGAGAGAGTGAGAAGGTTCTGGGGAAAATCCACATTTTTTAAACATATGCATTTCCAGTTCCTCTTTTGTTCTGTTATTAAAAGCAGCATTTGCACCAATCACAGGGGATGCCTCCACCCGCTGAGTCTCCACGGCCCACATACCTCCACACACTTATATTATCTCTCACGCAACCCATCGCTCGTTACAGACAACCTGACACACATCCTGATCAAATATCACAGAATAGATCAAATCAGTTTGTTCACTTTTTTTTTTTTTTTTTTTTTTTTTATTGCAGGAAAGTTAACAATCACGTCCAAGTCATGTTTTAATATCACACTGCTCATTTCAAAGCAAATGTATCAAGTTTGAATTTATCTAATATATAATGTTTAGGTTACATACTGTATGCAAAGTGCTACAAGTTGACACACACACTATATCACATATTTACAACTTCATTTTTTTTTTAAATTTAATCTGAGAAGTTTGCGCTAATAAAAATAGAAGACAAGTCCCGATTTGTACAGTAAAGGAAACTGTGAAGGTCCACACACACAACTAAAACTCTATTTGGTACTAAGGAACATTTGCTGCCCTGTTGGCACATTCATCCCATCACTTAAATTATGCCTTTATCTTTGAAGATAATTCTCTCAAATGAACCTGAGAATTCTTCATCTGAACACTGTATAACTTCAATGGAGATGTGAGCACATTTACATGCCCAGCTTGCTTCCTGCTTGTTTGCATTATTTACAGTGTACCTACACTGACACCGCAGGTGGGTTCTGTCCATCCTTCCTGCATGAGGTGCTGGTGCGTGTGTTTTCACAGTGAGATGGTTCTGCTAAGTTTTGTTTCAGTGCTATGCTCAGACACACCCTTCCTCACACTCCTTGATAAATAACTGATTAAGACAAAGCTATCTGAACAGGCTGGAGGAGATCTATCACTTTTATGGCTTTTTATTTATCCTGATCAAGTGACAAGGAGGCGTCTGTTCGAGCAGTAAAAGAACACCGGGGCTGGGCTCCACATTTGCAGTCAAAGGCACAAGTATTGCAGCTAAAATTGGCTTTTTTTTACTATTATTGTTTTAACATGGCTTTATATGGAGGCCAGATGTCATGATTAGCAGCTTTCTGTCCTGGTTCTTTTTACCCCATAATTATCTTTTGATGTGAAATCCATTTTACACCATATGAGTCAACAGGCAAAGAGGACAAATGCTGCACTACTTGTGCTTTCTTCTGATCTGCAGGAGCCTTTTGAACCCCCCACCCCACCCCACCCCACCCACCCTGTCCGAAAAGATCAAGAGGCGCCTCTCGTTCCAAAGATGTGGTCAAATTCGCTGAGGATGAGCTCCACCGCCTGGTTCTGGTAAACCATATTCACCGCCATGTTGCCATTGTCCCGCTCCGGGCGCATCAGGGTCGGCCCAAACACAATGCCGATGTTCTGTGTGGTCATTCTGTTGGTATCTGAATGTGCTAAAACTCTACAGGGAATGACAGAGAGAGACATACAGTTTTAAATAACATCTCAAATATCAGCAAACTAATGAAAAATGAAAATAACAAAAATTTTAGCCAGATAGCTCTAGGGATGGCGATGTCAGTCAGTCCACCACTTTGATCCAGATTAAAATATCTCAGCAACTCAGATGGATTGCCATGAAATTATGCACAGACATTAATTGATCTTCAGGGGGTGAATCCTAATGACTTTGGTGATCCCCTGACACTTCCTCAAGAGCCACGAACAAGTTGACTGATCTCAAAAGCAATTTGATGACTTGCCATACAATTTGGTTTATGCCCACACACCTACAAAACTAATGGTATCCAATCAGTATCAGCTTTACTTTGTGTTAAGTGCTAATGTTAGCATGCTAACACACAATACCAAGGTGGTGAACATGGTAAACATAATACCGGCTTAATATCATCATGTTAGCATTGTGATGTTAGCATTTAGCTCAAAGTGCAGCCTCACAGAGCTGCTAGCATGGCTGTAGATGCTCAGTTCATCTTTGGGATTGCAGATGACTGTTAACTGTCCATACAGCTTCATTCTTGTGGTCAGCATGTGACATCTTTGTAATCCTTACAAACTCAGGACAGTAACTAAAAGAAGCAGCATTTGTACATCTGCCATCGACATCCTGTTTTTGCGTGCATGTTCATGCCTGTGTGTCTGCATTTTACAAAGTAGGTACATGCACATAAGTGTCCATTGCCTGTATCCACCTACTGTATGTTGGTGTCTTTGAGTGTGTGTGTGTGTGTGTGTGTGTGTGTGATCTGGGGGGACTCAGGAATGGGTTAAAGCCACAGCATGAGGCATTCTTCTAAAAATGCCATTCCCACCAAGCCACAGAAGCAGCCAGCAATTGCTCAAAACTTCCACATTAAAAAGAGAGGAGGAAAAGAGAGAGAGAGGGGAGGGAAGAGAGAAAAAAAAAAGGAACAAGCGAAGGAGAGGGCGAAGAGAGAGAAAAGAGAGAGGTTCCAGTGGTGGCGGCGGTGGTGTTGGTATGCCTTCCAGCAGACGAACCACAAGGCTCCCATGGGACCTTTGAGGCAAGGAGGAAAGCGGGGGGGTTGGGGGGGGGAGAGGAGGAGGAGGACGGAGAAAAAGGAGAGAGGGATGGAAAGAGGAGGAAGAGGGGAGGAAGAGGAAGGGGAGAATGGAAAGAGAAGGAAGAGGATGAAGAGGAAGTGAGGAAAGAAAGGTAGCAAGCCAGCAAGGGAGGAGGCGGCGGAGGTGATTGAGCAGGGAGATAATAAATGAGAAACAGAACGAGGGGGGAAAGGAATGACAGCGGAGAGAAAATGAGAGAAAGACACAGAGTTGACAAATTCATGGGGCCCACCACACCCTGGCACAAACATCAGCCTCAGAACACGAACACTCACCCCTGAAGTGGAAGGAAAAACCATAGGCGGTAAAAAACACACATTTTATGTACTGTAAAAGGAACTGGCTCGCAGAACATTGTACGCCATTCATCTTCCTCCAGCCGTTTCATCTTCACAGGGACCCAAACTTAACAACAGTGTGATCCTGGTACAGCGCTGGCATGCTTTAAGAGCCGTGGCCAAAGAATCCCTGACAGAAAATTACTGAGAACAACAGGGGAACTACCCCATCTTGTGGTCAGATTTAAAAAAGAAAAGTTATAAGCAAGAGATTTTATTTTCCTACAAGGGCATCTGGTTCATTCTGTCGTGCCGAAACGTGCCAGGGGAATATATTATGAAATGGCACTGAAACCATGAGAAGTAAATGGAAACAAGCAGAGATGAGGACAGATAACACAGCAGAGATGTACTGCGCATGGTTTCACGCCCACCCTCTCACCGTTTGAGATGGCGGCACATGAACAGCAGCGTGTCGTGGTTTGGAGGAGGCATGTTAAGCACCAGACACTTCAAACGGTCCACTTTGTCCATGTAGTCCGACATCTCTGCAACACAGAGCGAGAGACATGTCAGATCATAATGAATGTTATCGTTTGCATTATATTTCATTACTTTATTACCATCCTAAACCTGATTTACATCCATTAATTGATATCACATGCACCTTATCAGCATCCACTATCTTATTTGATACAGTTTGCAATCATCAATTATCTCCACTGTGGCTTGATGAGCAGTGAACTGCTGATCACTCCCTACGCTCACACTGTGTCCCACGGATTGATAAGAAACAGGGCCGTTCATGCCAAGAATACATTTACATTTATTACAATTTTCTTTTCTTAATTTAAGTTTTCTTACTGCATGTAATCTATGTTGAAATACTAGATTATCTACTGTTATAGGATAAGTAGGATAAGTAACAGATATTACAATACACTGGTGTGTCACAGACATGCATGCAAATTCATTGATAAATACAGATAAAGGAAAAGTTTTGAGATCTTGTATGTGTTGTATCTAGGCTAAGCCTGATTTGGTTTAAGTGCAGCAGAACTACATTGTCGTTCAGACACTATTAAAAACCTTATTGAGTCACACTTACACTTTTACAGGATGACACCTTCCTTTAAAACAATGAACCTGGCAAGTGTCGTTTAATATGAGTCAATCTCGCTGATGCCAACATGCTGCTGTAAACACTCATCAGTGCACTGAATATGTCCATATGTCAGCAAAAAATGCACAATTTACTCACATCTGAGAAGCATTTGCTAAAAACTAGTTGTTCTTTTTAGGAAATTACTGAATCTTTACTGCTCTATTTGTGGTATACTTTTTTAAAGATTTATGTATTTAGTAGGAGCGAATAGGTTTAGGGTAAGGTTAAGGAAGTCGTAAAGTATTGAAAAACAAAGTAACACATGGTTGGTTGTGGTCTTCTCATGGGATTTGTTGACAATAAAAAAATATACAGAGTAACCTCAGCCTTAACCTTTAAATGACGGTGTCAACATTTATTTGTATTTGAGATGAGAAGTATGAGAATATGGGTTGTTGTTGGGGAGCAGCTTAAATGTGAAGACTTGTACTTTAAGTCTTTAATTTTTTTGCAGTAAAACCAAGCGATGGTTTTATTCAATACTGTTCCACAAATTCCAGCTCTGTCAGGATATAATTATTCTACTCTCGCCTTGAAATTCATGCAATTTTTTTCGTTTTGGGAAGAATCTTTTTTTCTTTTACGATGTCCATATATCTTTCATGATATACTGTGTGTGTATATATATATATATATATATATATATATATATATGTGTAAAAACTGTATTCTGTAAGGAGGTTAATTATATTCACTACAACTTGACACCAAAGCATCAAAGTGGAAGGAAGTGAATGGTTTTGAGTCATTAAGACCACAGCAGCGTAATGACGCTTCAGAATAAAACAACACCAGAGGAAAAATAATCAGGTGTGATAAAAAAGTGTCCTGTGTGGGAGTCCTGGTAGCCTAGATGTTTAAGATGCTGATTTTGTAATACAACATCCCCCACGGGGACTTTTATGCATATAAACCCCCCTCCACCCCCCCATCTCTCTCAGTCAAATAAAGGACAAAAAATTATTAATAAATATTTGAACTGAAAATTGTGTTCTAAAAAAATGTCACATTAAAATATAAAGGTTTGATTATTTGCTTTTTAAAAATGATGTTTTAATTTCATACAAACTCTGCAAGCAGTGATGAGATGACTGATGAAGTGCTTTCATTTCTATCTCAGATCAAAGACAAGTGTCAAGGGAGAGGCTGTAAAGAAAACTGAAGTCTGAATGGGACTGAAACTGGTCACTCACTGACTGTCTCCACGATGTCTGTGAAGAAGCCGTAGGGCACCAGAGGCTCAGGAAGCTCGCGAAAGAAAAGTTTCAAAGCTCCCGTGATGACATGAATGTCCTCCCACTCGCTCTCATCCAAATTCAGCTTCTCCTCTGAGAGACAAGGGAGGGGGTTAGGGGGGGCGAGTTGGAGGGGAACGGCGAGAAATCCAGACGGACAGGGTCAGAAGAAGTGAACGAGAAGCAAGGCCATATGAAAATGAGAGACAAAGAGTTAGAATATAGATAGAAAAAAAAAAACAACACAGTGGAGTTACAGTCACGGCATCATTTAGTGAAGAACATGAACAGAACAGAGAGCAAATTCACGTCAGTGCTGAGGCGGAACATGAAGGCTTGTAGCTGCAGGAGGGAGATAAAGATGGTTGGTGAGAGTGAGAGAAGGCACAGAAGCACAAACACAAGCACGCACACACTTTTAACTACAGCACACTTCTGTTTTTTAAATCCAGGCCTGACCACTGCTTCTCAAATTGGATCAAAAGAACCAAAGAAAGAAAAAAAAAAAAAAAATCAAGAGCTTTAATTTGACCTCAGTGTCAATTAGGTCAATATTCATGGTATAAACAAATGGTACCATCTTTAGCATCTTATGATGAGAAGCATTAGTCAGTGAGATATTGCTGTGGGATTAGCGCACTCCACAGTGCACAAGCAGCTGATTCTCCGTTTCGTCCACTTGATGGCAGCCATGGACTGTGTGAGAGCTCGCTGTACAACCTGCTGCGTGTTATTACATCAGAAAACTTAAAGCAGAAAAGCCTAAGGGACACACATACATTAAGCAAATGGTAGCACAACCACCAAACTGCTCAGTGCACGTCTGTGCCGCAGCTCAGCTCGGCTCCGCTCCGCTCGGTGTGTCAGTCTGTGGGTGGGTGTTTTGGGGAGTTTTTGACTGAGATGTTCACGTTATGCAACACATAATGCACAAAACAAGCCGGGGCTGAGTAACACATGAAAGCAGCTGCTCTCCTCGTCCGTCTAAATCTACCTTGTACCAACTCCGCTGGGAACATGTAACGGCCGTCAGTAGTCACCGCTCGCTCTGCAAAAACCAACAGTTACTACGTCAGCCTTTCCTCATCGTTCACTTCATCAAAAAGGATGTTGTGTAGTGGGAGTGAGACAATGGCAGATTTCAAGCAGGTATACAGTGAGTGTGTGTTGAAAACAAAAGGTGTTCATGTGTGTGAAATTTCTGATATCTGAAACATCAATCCTTATATACAATCAGAACGAACAAATCAGTATCAGTGGACATTTGTCTTGATTTCAAGTGGCTGAAAAAGAGGAATCAGATAACACTGTAATGATTTCTGACAAACGCCAGGAAAGTCAAGCTTCCACCTGCCCCCACTTCTCTCCTCCCTTGACATTTTCATCTCTGGTTTCATTGTCGGAGAAAAAATCAACATTATCAACATGAATCATCAGATACTGTTCAGTTTTTCCCCTCCTCACCATGGTTCACCAGGAAGCGTAGTTTCTGAATCACTGCCAGGTTTCCTGATACTCTGTAGATGCCATCAGTGTCCAGTCCTGCAGCATAAGACATAAGGAGTGTTGTATCAAAACACAACTCGCATACTATATACATATATATGTATGTGTCTATAATTAAAACGTGACCCCATGAGTTTAAGATAAACTGAGATGATTTCATTGTTTTCTTGGTCCTGTCTGTCACATTTCAAGTGTGTCTAAAAAATTTGTTTTGTTGCATAAGTTCCCAAAACATGTGAATAAAGTTAAGTAAAAGCACATTTTGCCACTTTAGAGTCACATTTTTGCATGATCACAAGCCGCCATAAATATTTTTAAACTTCCTCTTTACATTTCACCGTGTTTGTTACTTGTCAAAGCGCCTTGTTATGATAACAAGTTCCTGCTTTCTCCACATTGGTTGTCAGAAACTGTAGAACAAGTCGGGCTTTGTGAAACATTGCTTGTTAAAATCCTATCAGACGGCTTCAAGTTTAAACTGCACAGCTTCACAGTCTCAAGGAGCCACTGACTGACATTTGATGTATTCTGGTGCTGTTATAAAACTTAAAGCTTTACTCCAACGGATTGGCTGATGTTTTAATATGCAACAGAATTATGCATATTATTATTATTATTATTATTATTATTATTAGTTGATTATCTTTTCATTGTTGTTGTGTTTGACCCACATGTTTTTACTGGTCATGTCAAGTTAATTTTAAATGTTTGTGCTGAAATCACAAATTTGTCTCTGGAGGCTTTAGAATCAATTAAAGATGAAACTATTTGTAAATTAACTGATTCGACAGGAAACAGTTTAAGTCATTTTCTAAGCTAAAACAACAAAAATTGGATCAGGCTTCCTAACATAGATATTTGCTGGTTTTCTCCTGTGATAGTAATTTTAATGTCTTTGTTTTTTTGACTGTTGGTTGGACAAATGAAGAAAGTATCAGTTTGGGTTTCGGTGAATTGCAACGGAAATGTTTCACTATTTTCGGACATGTTACAGGCTAGAAATACTGAAATAATCAAGGAAATGACTGCCAGATTAATCAATAATGAAAACAATTGTTAACTGCAGCCCTTATCTGTATAACATAAGGCACCATCTATCCTTAGACCCTCAATTCAGACAAGGAAACCACATAAGAAAATGTTTTACAGGACACAAAAAGAAACATATTGGTTAGTATATATATCTGAATTAGCATAGTATGCTTCCATTTCTACCACAGTAATTATACACTATAGCTATGACAACTAACAACATAATTCCTCTTTCTATTTTTGTGGCTGCAGTTTAGCCACTTCGTCATTGAAGTTTTTCAGTCTGTCACAGCCTTGAATGTAATTGTCTCAATCTGCTCAAACTGCTCCATAGAAATATTTAAATCATCAAAACCAGGTTTTTAAAGGCCTTATGGTCAAAACAGTTTTGTTTGTTTGTTTGTTTGAGTTAAATATTTATTTGCAGTATGGTTTCTAGGCAGTTTCCAAACCACTTTCATTGTCTTTAATTTCAATCTCTCTCTGGCTGGCAGCTGTCGTACGTCCTTCTCTTAATGTGTGCCTCTGAGCCCGCGTCCTCTCTGGCAATCAAAAACATTTTGCAGTAAATTCCTCTCTGATGATTTGTGTCACAGAGCTGCACAGTAGGTGCAGAGCTGCCGTCAAATGACTGACGCTCAAAACAAGATTGAGGCTGCTCTCTCATGTGTCCGCTTTAAGTTGAGAATCGCATTAGCGGGGAGCCGGGGCTGTCTGCAGTGACTGTACCTCTCCTCTCCACAGCCTCAGTACAAAGCCTGACGAAGCGAGGGACCATGTTCTTCTCTCGCTCGCAGAGCATCTCCAGACGACAGCCAAACACCTGATCTGAAGAGCGATGACAGACGGACACAATCACACACACACAAATACACACACACACACATTTTTTATTGCTGTTGTTTTTTTTTTGGTTTTTTTATAAGATAACAGACATGATGTAAGAGCTGCAGGCTTAAGTTAATCTAGTGATAAATTTACAGTTCACTATGGGAGAAAACCTCTACGTTTAACTCTGCTCCCAGCAGAGATCTAGGCTCACACTTGATGATGCAATACAACCCATGTACTGTATATTCTATAGGGTGGGAAAAAAAAAAAAATCATGCAACCCTTTACTCTAGAATATGGCACCATTATACTGCTGTATGATCATATTATTTTATCTCTGAGATGAACTTGCTTGTGAAGAGAATGTCATCAACAATGAGAACTGAACAATATTCAACCATAAAAGCACAGGCTCCCTATTTTCAACTATACTTTCATGGTAGCTAGAAAAAAGTCTGTGTAAAATGTATGTAAAAATCTTCTTGTTATAAATCTACAGATACTTCACCATTTTTCTGAATGACTTCTTCTGATCCAGTGACATGTAGGAAATCATGTCATGCTATCAGACACAGAACAGTAGGACTCAAAATGCAGATGCAGGGACAAAGAGAAGGAGAGTTCGGAAGTCGTTTAATTCAGTCCAATTTCAAAAATACCAGGAAATCCAATCCACAGGGCAGAGGGACAAAATCACTAGGCAAGTACTCGGTATCCAAAAGGCAAAAATGGGTCAAATACACAAGGGCTATAGATATATACGTGAAACAGACGCTGGAACGCTGACAGGAATCCGACAAGACGATCTGGCACAGAAGGGAAAAACCCCATCACATATATACACTGAATGATAACGAGACACAGGTGTATCACATTAGGGGAAGGGAGGCAATCAACAGGAGGGAAGGAAGTTAGACAGTACAAGGAAGACCACACACCAAAATAAAACAGGAAGTAGCCAAGACACACACGCCAAACCTACCAAAATATATTACAAAACTACCCGGGCCCTGACACATGCCTCCTATGAGGATGTAGTAGAGGCCACATAACCCTTAAGGCCTATGCTATTGCTGTGTTGTTCAAGCCTCATGGAAGCTGTAGCAGTTGGAAACTAACAGAATAATTGTTTTATCTTTGTTAAACATACGAGATGCTGGGGCATCCTGGTGGCCAAGGGGTTTGACTGCAACATCCCCTTTGCTGCATGTCTTTCTTCCTCTCTTCCTTTTCCTCTCTTATGTAAAAAAGGCAAAATACCCCCAAAATACAAAAAAAAAATGCTTAATGTTTTTTTTTTTTGCTAAGATGTTTTAGCTTAGAATATGGACAAACTCCTAAATAACATGTTAAAACTTTTCAGAATGTCGCATAAAAGACACAGGAAAGTGTATTGTCTTTACTTTTTCTCCTATTGTTAGTCAGGTGTTTCCCCACCATGGGTTTGCAGGACAGCTTCACTGCTCATTCATATAGATTCTACTCTAAGTCTCAAACTTGACTGCAGGCATTCCCCCATTTGCTGTTTTGATGAACGTGGCGGAGAGCACCATCTACTGCAAGAAACTATCCATCTCCCATTGGTGTTCAGCTGGGTAACTGTGAAGGCCGCAGATATAATTTCAAAAAATTACTAAAGGGGCTATTTGTACGTTTCTTGCAGGAAAGGGGTGTGATGATTAATGCTTGACAAGGGCTTCGGCCATCGTTGCATTCACAAGACAAGAGATTTTAATACGCCCTCTGTGCAGCGCTACATATTCAGGGCAGATTGGAGGCTACAATGAGTCGCTATTGGACAATGACAAGACAGGCCGGGGCTAGCTGGTTAGTGAGCTAACTTCCGTAGAAGAAAAGACGTGATAGAGACAAGAGTTTACATGATGCAAAGAGGTCATAATAGTGCAGACAGGCCCTGTGAGAAACTTTCATTTTGGAGGAGCTCTTACTAAACAGACAAAGAGAACAGCGATTCACACTCACAAGAGGATGTGGCATTACTGCAGGATAAACACACAGATATCTTGTCTGCTCTCACAACTGTGATGGCAGCCAGCAAGATGGATAAAATATCCTCAACTTCACAACAGTCAACAGTCAAGTCAATATTTGATATTTCTAGCTGTAATATTAACGACTGAGCAAAAGAGAACATGTATCACCATCATTCACCACTGCCCTGTATGCTTCTGAATAAAGGATACACATGCACTCAAACAGTCTGAAACTTCAAAAAGATATCTCACCTTTAATGAGCCCTTTCTCCTGCAGGGCCTGTAGAGGAGGTCTCTTTAGGATCAGCTTCTTCAGCCGGGTCTTTACTCTTTTCCTCTCTGTGTTTTCCAGGTTGGATGTCGAGCGAGGGACTGCAGAGGGAGGAAAGGAGAAGGTGGAGGAGTTGGAGGAAGAGAGGGAGGTAGAGGAGCAGGAGTTCAGTGCTGGGCGTTCGGCTGCGGGGCAGGAGAGCAGATGAGAGGGGATGGTGGTGAGGATGAAAAGCGGGAGGGCCGGGTGACGGCGGAGGTGAGACAAGACTGACTGTGGGATTATTTGCCATGGCGGCCGTGTGAAAATATACGTGGGCTGAATGGAAGAGAGGATGGAGGAGAGGATGGAGGGATGTAAGAGGCCTGTATGGAAGTTTGAAGAAAAAAGTGGTGATGATGATGGAGTGAGAGGCTGTGAGTAAAGTGGGGGTTGAGGGCAGGGACGGTTCAGCGTAATTCTTGTGTGAGGGAAGGAAGTCCGAATGGAGTGATGAGATGCAACTCGTGGTGATGACTTACGTGACGTTCTCCTCTCATCTTCATCTCCACTGTGGTCCAGCATCTCCACGCTGCCTGCTCTCCTCAGAGAGTACAGAAGGACATTGTCCAATGGGTTTTCACGGTCCTGGAAGGCAGGAAGAGGAGAACTGTGTTTAATTATACCACTCACTGTCTAGAACAAACTGGCTTCTCAGTTCTCTGACTATTTGTTATTTAAAGGAGTATTTAGTGATTTTTGTTTTTTTTTTTTTGGCTGCTTGGTGATAGTCAAATAATGTTGATATATTATCATATACTATATATAAAGTTGTTATGGTGAACAAAAACAGCAGAAAGTTGCCTATTTAAACTTTCCAGCAGACATGGGGGAATATTAAAATTCATTTTAAACTTTCATATGGCCACCCCATGAATGTTCGTCCTACATTGACTTTCCTTTTAGCAATGTTTCTGGTCTCTTTTTGGTGCTGTACAGGTAATATACAGAGGTTCTATCATAGCCTTTTTCACTTAAAACAGCGACCTGATGCTGTTTATAACAGTGGTGAGAGTGAAGCAACACAGTAGAGCGCAGAGGGACTTATTCTCTCTGGTCACCTTTAACGTTACACACTGTCATTTGAGCTATTGTTAACAGAAAAAATATTGATTAGTGTAGCTTTAACATAAACAGATACCAAAACTGTTTTGAAACAGATCTCCTTAATTGGGTCATGTAATATTAATGACCAAAATATGTGTGAGCATCACATTTTCAAGTTAAAAAATAAACTTGTCAGAGATTTACATTTGACATAATTGACATTAAATAGCTAAACAAAAAGTATAGAAACTACATTTAAAAGAAATTAGAAAAATTAGAACAAAGATATTGATTGCAGGAAGTTCAGAACATAATAGCATGGATAACAGTCTCCATGTTTAAGTGGCAGTGGAGAGCATGAACTTTATATACGGAGGTTATGACACAATTCTGATTGAAAAAGGAAACCATTTTAGCCACTAACAGAGAAGTGGTAAACTGGCAGTTCAACTCTGCGTGTTGTGTCCACGTGTCTCACCAGTCTTTCGATGACATTCTGAATAGTGCTGTACCACTCTTTGATCAAAGAGTCAGTCTCCGACTGCAGCAGGAACTCGTTGCCTGTTATTGTCCTCAACTAAAACACAAACATTTGCAAACCGTATTAATGCATAATGAACTGTCCCCACTGAGGATTTTAAGTAGATATTTAACACAAGACAGTGCAACCTTCAATTCTGCCACATTTCATTGGAAAATGAATTTTTACTGCTTCCTCTTCCTGACTCTGGATCACTGACAGGAGACAGGGTGGAAGACAGCTCTCAACTCTCACTTCCCTCACTGATCAGGACCCTTCACTAACAGAATAGTGAAGGGCCTATACATCAGCTCACGGGTATCACTGAGGTTTGAACACTTAGCAGTTTATACACACTTGTAACATGTAATGATTTGATGAATTCCTCAAGAGTTCCACTTGTTTCTTACCTTAAAGACATTCTTCTTGCTCGACAGCTCGTTGGCCCAGTGCAGTTGTGCGCCTCTTAAATCCACACTGCTCTCAGGGCGACTGTTTCCTGGTTTCTGTTTTAAATAAATGGGTAAACACACACAAAAAAAAGTATTTGTAAAATGTTTTGGGTGTTTTTAGCTGTGCAGAATTTGTAGGCCACCACTTTTGACTGACTCTCATATTATGACCAAGTCTCTACAGGTCTGTGTGACCTGTTTTATTAACAGAACAGCTAATGAATGTCATTTTACTGCTGCAAAGACGTACGAGGAGAAAGCGGTCACATAGTGACTGGAAATATCCAGCTGTTTCGTCACTTTTTGGGTGTGACACAAGTTTCTGGTCTTTGTGCAATGGACAAGAACCTGGGTAAGAATTGGGTAAGTTGCCATTTTTTAATTTTCAAATGAGAAATTCATTCCGCAGATAAACGGAACATCTGCATTTATGAAGTGTCTCACACTAAGTATTAGCTGACGATATTGTCGTGAAGAAATTATGTAGGCTTCATGCAATTATTTTCCACTCGAGAAAAACTTGTTTGTGCACAAAGGGTTTGTGTGAGCTCTTACCCAGGTGGAAGGTGTGTATGATTTAGGATCTTTGAAGAAAACCAGACTGTTCCCGACCAACACTACCCAGGATGGACTCCAGTTTTTCCTGCAACCCAACATAAACACGTGTATTGCTCAGTCAGGATTCGGCTCGGTAAATCATACTTGCCCTCATTTGCTTGAACACTGTATTCGTAAAAACAGGTGCAGTCTAATTTCTTTTTTTTTTTTTTTTTGCTCTTTAATGGGAGCAGCCTCATGAGGCCTCACCTCAGTTTCCGGCCTCCCTCTGCAATCTTTGTCTTGTTCAAGAGGCCGGCTTTCTCCAGCTCCTGAGAACACATTAAAAGGGGTTTCAGGTGCATTAAAAACTGCGCTATATTTAAGCACTAATATCTATATTAACACTGATGTTATAAGCCAATAATAAGAGCATGTGAAGACATGTTTAAATGCTAACAGTAAAGTACAGCAGAGGGCTTTTCCTCTGTTATACTTTACTGCATCCTGAGTAAGCCCATTTAACTTGACTGTTGCATCATTCAAAAAATAGCAGGAGGGGAGTTACTCTACAGTCTCCCACTGCGGTATGGCCCCGATTAAGGTGCAAGAGAAAAAAATTAATACTAACTATGAAGTGAGAACAGTATGGAAAGACAGTGAGGAACATTATCTATCTATCTATCTATCTATCTATCTATCTATCTATCTATCTATCTATCTATCTATCTATAAATATATAAGCAATGCGGTCTCACTGGTGTGCAGCCATCGCTGTCTGGAGAGCTCTGAGGCGACGGAGGCTCCACGATGATGTTGGCCACATTACGAGAATAATCTCTGCTGCACTGCTGGACCAGCTGAAAGACAGGAAGTCGCCATCATCAGCTGTGTTCATTTTTCTGTATGTGTATATGTACCAGTGCAGTGTTTCCCTCTGTTTATATTTATCTGCATTTCCTCTTCTCTCTGTGTGTCTGTGTGTGAATACCGTTCATGAGCTCACGCTGTGTGTATGTATGTGTGTCTGTATGTGTGTCTGTGTGTGTGATTGTGTGTATGTGTGTGTGTGTGTGTGTGTGTGTGTGTGCTTTGTAGGTAAGTACCTTGCCATTCTCAGGCAGGATCATAGATTGGGAGTGACTGAGCTGCTGCTTGACATCATGCAAGGGGGCAGAGTTATGACTCTGGGCATCTGCACTGCTGAACGCCATCGTGCTCAGGGTTTCAGAGGAGGCTGCACGCTGCATGCTCTTCCCAGGGTTTAAAGGTCAAGGTCATATGTTTGGGTCAGTGGTCAGAAGTGGAACAGACAAACAAGGGAGAGGGCAATTGCTGATTTATTGTGTGCAAACTGAGGAATAAATACAACATACTCCCATGGCATTTTTTCATACCTTTTTCTTTATATTACATTTATATTTAAGTATTTAGTTCACCCTCTTGCCTCGAGCAACCCGAGTGCAACAGTACAATGAGCATAAATTCCTAAACGAATTAAAATTACAAACAAGCACAGTAAGGAACAGCAGAAAGGTCAGGGCCTTTTCAGCAATTCAGCATGCAGTTTCTCCTCTGATTTCTTCATTTCATTTCCTGTATCTTCCAACACATTGTAACCTGAAACCTAATCCTAATGCAACCCATGCAAAAAATCATCAAGCCTGAAACATAATTAAGGGAGACATTAAAGCTTCAATCGACTTTCGATTTATAATCTGTGCAATGAAAACGTACCCGACACAATGTGTTCGCCTTAATAGTATAACAGTCAATAGTATACTGTAACTACTGACAGCGCAAAAAGCACTTGGTCTTCATTGCTGTTTTTGTTCCAATCTGCTCTTTCAACTTTTCATTCCATGTTACACCTAAGATGAAAACCTTTGGACTTTCCTGTCGTTATTTTGTTTTGTTGCAGTTAATGTATTTGTTAATGACAGGCGCTTTGATGCTATGGGATTACTTTGTTTCTCTGACAGATGACAGCAGAGTTAGTAAAAGGTTCAAAATTTACACACCTATTTAAAAATCTGCTCACTCACTTTGGTCAACAGCCGAACACACTGCATTTCAACAGGTTTCTTATCTGCATCTTCTCTCTGCTCTCTCAGTAGTTCTCATACAGTGGCAGAAATCATGAAACTATATCAGATGAAGTCTGAATTAAACTGAAAGTATTTTAAACAACACTTTGAGGAAGAACAACAATGCAACAGTTGTGCTACATTATAAATTAATCTACCTGTATGAACTGCCAAGAGGAAGTGAAGCATTTTGAGAAACACTGATAACATTAAGAATGAGTGCATTTAGTGAGAACTCAGCACAATCACAGATGGAGACAAACTGCAGTTTCCATGAAAAGTTCAACTTCATTTTGCTTCATTTCACAGGACAGGCAGAGAGACAGATTGTCAGAGACCCAATGGGGCATGCATGCGCATCTGTAACTTTACATGCAAAATATTTATGCCTGCAATCTCACCGCACAATGCCTATTATAAGTACTATAATAATATATATATATATGAGTGTGCATGAACGCACACAAATGCACATGTTCACACAACTTCAACTTTTGCAGCAACAGCCATAATTAAGTACCTTTCCCAATCCCTGTAACCTAGTTTCAACAATCAGACTAAATATCCCTCCTAATGTTTGCCATCTCTTCATGCAAGGCGGATTAGCACTAAGAGCCAAATCTGCTCCTTTGCTAAGAGGAGGCCTTTAAAAGGGCTTTAAACCAAGCGCACCCACACCCCACTGTGATGCAACATGTTGCAGGAAGAACTGCTTGGATAACAGCCTTTCTTTTTAGACCATGAGTTGCTATTTCACCACCTTAATATGCATAAATGCTGATCTCTGAGAATCTAAAGAGCATAGCTGGCAGTACTTTAATGTATTCTACAGTAATACAGTGGAGATGCAGTTTTTGCAAATCTAACGACTCAAGTTCATTGATTTTCATGAGGAAAATACCCTCCATCAAAAGTCCTTTTAAGCGCTGACAAAACACCGGACTACGACTACCTTCACAGTCAGTCACTGCAAACTACTACGGAAAGAGTTGCCATCTAAATGTTTTAAAAGAAGAATTAGCAGTCCAAGCAATCTATAGATATTCATATTCAGACAAAGTTAATGATAATGTGAAGCAGGATTTTTATCTTATACAGTGACAAAGTCTTTGTTAAGTTAAGTTCTTTGTTAAGCAGACGCATCCCTTTGTGTGGGGAGAATACTGTATATAAAGCTGGTAAAGGGTGTTATCATTTACTTTGGTCTTTGTTGTTTTTTTCAAGGTGAAAGTCAAGGTGAAATGCATTAGATGCCCTCTGGCAATGAAAGAGTGCAGCAGGTAGAGAAAGAGTTTCACCTGTTTCATCTGCCAGCCACTGTCAGTTTTCCCCTGGTGGCTCCCGAAGAGGAAATCAGGTGACAGCTAGAGAGAGAGAGAGAGAGAGAGAGAGAGAGAAAGAGAGAAAGAAGAGAGATGCAGGAAGACAAACACAGGAAACGCGGACGGACAGTTACTATTTATATTTCATTTAAATTTAAAACACAAGTCTACTCCATTTTCTGTATAATTGACCTGCAAAAAAAAAAAAAAAAAAAGATCAAAGAATGTTTTACCTTTGGGCTTTTCTGTCAGTTTTAGGGAAAACTAGACACTCTGCACTATTTGTGCAACAATACGCCTCAACCAAAATGGCAGCAATTTGGGTAAATTTCACAGCCATGTGAAAAACAGGATGCTGACAAATTTTCTCAGTTAACTGCAGCAATGAAGCTCAGGCTAACACTCACACTCACACTGAAACTACTCCTCTACCCCCCTTACATCCTGCCAGCTAAAAATGCTCTTTGATTCGCCACCACAGCACATAGGGACTCACAAATACACACACTACACACGCACACAATACACACACTACACACTCACACACGCACTTGTTTGCCTGTATTCAACTGAGGTTAATGGGAAAACAGTTGCTGCCGTTGCTCAGTAAGACTGAAACATCCATTGCATAGTACTCGTTTGACTCAAGCATGCTGATTTTTAGCAACTGAACTGGGCCACACGTCACATACTGTACATCCACATCAGTACAGTCATATCAGCTTTTTGTGAGAGTGACAAAGTCAGTACCAACACCTCCAACAATGAAAAGCCAGAATAAATGAACCATATTAGCATGACAGTCAATTAAGTTCCATTTAACAACATTTGACAGTTCACATGCGCTTCCAGAAATCCAACACCATCCCACATAATGTCATGGCATGAAAATAACAACACAATTACGTAAATGATAATGCGTAGGAAAACTAAAATGAACTTACAGCATAGATACTCATTATCACTGATCACCCAGTTTATACAATCCCAGACCAACTCTCGTTTCAGAGTGCTTGTAATCTGCCGAGTTTAAGTCCTCAACTGGCTGCTGTCTCATGTCATGGCACTTTTTCTTCTGTGTGTCAAAATGTATAAACCATTGATCTCTCCCTCTTGTCTCAGTCTACGTCTACTTCCCCATTCTAGAGGGAAGCTGGCTTTATCAGTCACAGCAGTTCAACCAGGAAGGTATGCTCAGTTGAAAAGTCGCATCAGAACTTTGGAAACACTGCCACCCACATGAACCTCTGTCCAACAGCTTTTTTTTTTTTTCTTTAGTCCATTACAAGTAAAGGTTTAGCTGTTCGATTAATATAGTATTGACTTGTTATACTGATGTCTTAGAGTGTAAGCAGCAACGTACTTACTTGAATGACGTTATATCTCTGCTGTTTGGTATATAAATTATGATTTTGTTGTATTTAGGAGGAAGATAAATGCACACAAATGGGATTACAAAGTGGTGGCATGCTGATCTTCATTGTATTTATCGTCACAGTAACCCGCAAGTACCAGCTACGACTGCACACGAGACACGTTCACCACCCCGAGTCAGTTTTAACACCTGAACACAAAGAGCTGCAATCGAGAGCATGTGAGAACACGTGAGCAAGGGAGCAGAGGTGTTGAAATAGACGGCTAAAAGCTATACTTAAAATAAAAAAGCTAAAAACTAAAATAAGTGGTGAGAAGAATAAATGATGGATGGATCCAGCTTTTGCCTCTCCAGGTGGTAATGGCACAAATACAAACTTGACCAATTCATTCCTGAAAAAAAAACCAGCTGCAGCCTAAACATTGATAATTCCAGGATTGATGTTTCTTGTATGAAAAAATGATTTCAACCATATCTACTATATAATAGTAGTAAGTAGTAACACCCAGTTTAAACCACTGGTTTATGTTATAACAATGCATCGTATTTTATGAAGTGATGATATTTTTTGTGTTAAAAGCAAGTGAACAAGTAACTATATGTGTGAAATAGGGCTTCAATTAGCAATTGTTTTCACGATTGATTAATCTGCAGATATTTTCTTGATTGATCGATCAGTCGTTGGGTCTTTAAAACGAACAAAGATATTCCATCTACAATGATATGAAATAAAGAAAAGCAGCAAATCCTAACATTTGACAAGCTGGGAGCAGAGAACAGTTTTGCTTAAAGATGAACAATTAATCGACTATCAAAATTATTTTTCCATTGATTGGCTGTGCAAGTCATTGTCTAATTGTCGCAGCTCTTACCTCAAATATGCAGAATATGTTGAGGAGTAAAAAGTACAAAAGCTCCCTCTTAAATGTAGTACCATACATGCATAAACTAAAATGGAAATAGAGAGACAGGAAGGAGTGAACATGATGAGGGTTCAAATCATTTTCAAAAATAAAAATCTAATTGGGTCGAGAACATTGTGTGCTAACAAGTAATGTGGGTCATTTTGGATTTGAACACCTGTGTCATAAGCTCACGTGGCATGCAGTATGCATTATATATCTCTAGTAAAGTTCCTGTTTGGTAATACATGTTCTACAGAATAAAAACTGACACATATAGGTCAACAGAATGTATCTCAAACTGACTTGATGGGGTATCACTGCTTTGATCATGTGGGCATTTTTTTGATGAGCAACATTAAATTTGAAACACTGACGCAACATTGAGGCAACGCATCCTTGAGATGCAAAATGCTTATCCCTAACAATCTGGTTCATGCAGCTTGTGGCACGTAGATGTCGTCACTGAATTAGTGGATGGATCAATTTCAGTCTGTGGCGGCTGTTGCATAAATTCCCAAAACTGTTTACGTCTGAAACAACAGATGTACTTCCTCAATCGAAGCGCAGGGACACTCTCTTGTAAAATCAAGTTTACGGAAAAGGTGAAACGACAGCATGACGACAGCGTCTGCCAGGTCAGGGAGGGCGTTTAAGGCTGATGAGAAGTTTCAGTGAGTGGTTTAAATTTAGCAATGTTTTAATGGCTTCTGTTCATCTGCGTCAGATAAAGAGGCATTACCTTGTTATTCCCCTCAAGGATTAGCCCAAAAAAACCACCATTTGAGCGGAAGTGTGTGTCAGAGGGCAGCTGATAATAAATAAATAAATGAATAAGGCGGTGAGTCGGTCAGTAAACAATGTGGCAACTAGAAAGAAAGATGTAATCCCCTTTTTAATTTGGCTATGCTCAGCATTTTCTCTCTGCTTTAATGTGGTGCACAGTGCCGGTGCATTCTGGGTGACAGAGGCTAACAACAGATTCATATGTCGAGAGATGTGTGGGTTTTTTTTTTTTTTTTCAGTTTTTTTTTTTTTTGGTCTCACTGCAGTTTGTTCTGTTTTGTCTGTCTGTGTTTACAGATGCGAAAGCACAGCTGTTTGCACTTAAAAACATGTTACATAAGAAAAATTATTTAATACTTTTAACAATTATTTACATAATAGGACAGAACAAGAAGTTTAGAACATAAAAGACAGACAGTTCTGCAGAACTATGGGAATGATTGTAACAAACCAAACCAACAATATAAACTCAATCATTGACTTGACAGTGTCATAAACATATTTCCTATCAGCTAGTACAAACTTCTTTGTGACATGGATCACTGCGTAAAAGCTACAGTACAATGCCAGTGTGAATGATCACATGAATTAAGCAATAAAATAAGGATAATATAGTGTATATACAATTCTGTCACTATAGTCAAGGAAAAGCTCATCCTGATTCCATCGCCCCAAAACCTCGCATAACCTGAGACTGCGAGAATGAAAGGAGGTCCAATTACCAATGAAGCTGATTCAAAATGTAAATGTTCAATCACATGAAATGACATCAGGAAGCCCGAATTGTACCACCTCCATACAACAGCCTTACCCTGTGCATAGCTCCATTGCCAGCTCCAGGAAGCGGCAGTGACAGATGGCTGGTGTCCCTGGGTAATGTCTGAGGTTGTGCTGGACTGGCCTGCCACAGAGACAGAAAGAAAACTCAGATTGTGGACCAGGAGAAGTCTCTGACTCATCTTTAGCTAACATTAAACTGCAAACATACAAAGATCAAAAACGACTTCCTTAAACACGCCAAATTGTTAAACATACACTTGTTTGGCAGGATCAAGAAACAATGAACACAATGAGTTCCATAAAGATAGGCTACTTTTTACTGAAAGCTATTGCTAATGTGCAACATACTGTGAAGCGTTGAGTCATTTTTCATAGCTTCAGTTAGACGCTCTCATAATTCCAGATTTAAAGGTGTCTGTCAGTAACTTTATCCACTTACTGTACAATATTCAGCACCACTCTATGTGTTTGAGGAATACTTTGACAATTTGGGAAACATGCTTATTGGCTGTCCAGCTGAGAGTTAGATAAGAAGATTGACCCCACTCTCATGTTTGTGTGGTAAAATACAGCCAGTCTGAGCTTAGTTTCAGTTTATTTTAGCATTAAGATGGAAACGGGGAAAAACAGCGATGAGCATCGTGTTGCAGGTGGTATATGATATTTCTTGGATGGGAGGGAGATTAGGGTTGGGGTTACTTTCAGGAATATCCTTGGTTGCCTGGCAACTGCTCAGAGCCCTAACCTCCGACTTGGAAAAGAGCAAAGTGTCGTTTTTATACTTTTGTACAGATTAAACAAGTTAATTACTGAGCTTTAAAGGTGCTGGTAGGTGAATTGTGTTAGCTTTGGACCAACAGTAGCCAGGCTAGCTGTTTCCCCCTGTTTCAAGTCTTTATGCTAAGCTAAGCTATTTATCCCCTGGCTATAGCTTCATAATCAACAGACAGATATAAGAGGAATATCAGTCTTCTCATGTACTGCACTTTTGGCAAGAAAGTGAATAAGCACATTTGCCAAAATGTCAAACTATTCCTTTAAAGCTGTCTGTTCCTATCAATGACCTTGGTCAGTTACTTTGCAATATTCAGCAACTCTCAAACTCATGTACCAGTCTCCCCACGTGCACTAGACTTGTGGAAACCTGTCCTGTGATCTCTGTGTGTGCAACCTTCTCTACATCAGCTCATGTGTAAGTCAAGAGAAAATATGCGAGCCAGGTTGCTTTCCTTTAGGTCTTTTTTGGCTAAAAAAAAAAACCCTTTTAGTGCTGATATAATCAAACCATGTGAGCATATAAATGAGCATTCTCTTTTATTCTACACTCTGACCCTTTTCTGTCCTCTTCTCTGAGAAAAGAACTTTCATCCAGCTCTGAAAAATGCCCATCTTTTCAAATTTTATGGCAATTTCAGTGACGGAAACAAAAAAAAAACATGGACTCAGGAGGAGTAGCAAACCATGTTTGGTGTTGTACCTTATTGATGGTGTGTCCACGAGCCCGGCGAGGGGGTTTCCAGGACCTCTCCTTGGTGATGGTGTTGACGTAGTAGAATCTACCTGTAGCTGGGTCTGAGTACTGCTCCCACAGGTCCTTGATCTGAAGAGGCTGTTGACCTGGGTCAGGGCGAGGTGGCTCTGGCTGCGATGGATGTTTCTCTGGCTGTGTGCCTTCAGCGTACAGAGGAGAGTCTTGCCAGGACAGCTGTGACAGATAGGACTCTGTTGGGACCTTGTAGGCAGACAGAGTAAAGGGGGAAAAAGAGATAGAGGAAGGAAAAAAATAGGTGGAAATCAAATACAAATGTAAAATACAAAGCAAAAGTATGAAATAATATGATTCACCAGTTTATTACCTGAATAAATGTTCAGTAATATTGACTATGACTTTAAAGATAGGCCTGACAATAGTCTATATTTTTCTCATTGTTAAGAATTTCTATGAAAAGACCAAAGCCAACCATATGTCAGTTCTTCTCTCCATACTGTCCAACCCCTCTCTTCTGACTGTGTCTCTCATCCCCAAGCCCAGTTATTCCTACAGAACACATAAATCTTTAAAAACAGGTCACAAATATTAAGTTTATTTATCAAAAATCTCTTAGTAATTTAGTTTTTAGCAAATGTCGCTCCAGGAGGACATGGAACATTTTTTGGGGACAATTTTCGGCTGTAGATTAATACACATGGTGCATGTGTGTCCATGGGATGGTGTCTGTGAGATTGACTTTTCTTTTTCCGGCATTTGCTGATACAATGTTATGGAATACACGCTGAATGTCACCAGAGCTATCTTTTGAGGACCGAGAGAGAATGTACTGTATGTGTACATTGTGCATTTTGTGAATCACCCATGTTACCATGCCTCTGATTATGTGTAACCTCATATGCATTCTTTTTCAAATAACGTTGTTTTTTTTTTTTGTTTTTTTTTTTACAGTTTTCTCTGTATGCGTGTTCATGATAGCATAAATCAGGTACCACAAGCTGAAAATAGCAGTGCCTTGAAGAAAAACAATCATCTCAGTGTGCAAAGAAGAAAGAGAAACCCCACAGAAACCACAAAGAGAGACAAATAAATCCTGCTGTCTCTTACTGTAGAGTAACCTGTCAGACTCTGGATTAAGACGGAGCTTATAGAAATGCATGTGCTCGGCCAGATAGAGAGGACTAAACCAACAGCTACAAGAGAGGAGATCTACAAATCCAATGAAATTAATTGAAAGGATATGCATGTAAGATCATCTTTCCACGAAATATAGCTGAGACATAATTCACTAACTGATTGACTGGCTAGCTGGTTGATCCCTGTTACATAACACATGATACACAGTCTTTTCAGATAATGACTGAGGGGGCATGTGTGTGTGTGTGTGTGCATGTGTTGGTGTGTGCAGGTTTATGGATGTATGTGTGAATGGGTGTGAGACATGTAAAGAGTTATGTGATTATAGTTTACTCCAGGGGGCAGCACTGAGTCGTCAGCGCACCTGAAGCTTCCTGTTCTATCGTTTCCTTCTGTTCACCTTAGTGGTTCAATCGAAACCAAATGTTTCGCAACAGGATCAAACGGGGCCACGGCTCAGTAACAATATCCTGAGCACTTTTACATAATCTTTTTAATTATCACTTTGGACAAATTATCTTGATTTTTAACAAAATGAAAGACCACAGAAGTACTGATTTGGGGGGCTCACATATTTATGATTTCCTTGGGGTCTCTTGCCATCTTGTTATCACAGTCTGTTACCTCAGTCATTAGCTTAACAGTCAATGATCGGTTGGCAATATGTATTTTCACAAAATTATTCCAGAGAAACAGCAAATTGTCTTCCACTAGAAAATTTCAAACCTGGATTTACCAGCCATGATTTTCTGCCAGAACAACACCACAACAACATCAACATGTTGTGTCTATAGGATAAATGTAAATATAGAGAAAATAATAACAACAAAATAACAATAACAAAACAAACATATTTTGCCAAATATGTTTTGGAATGTCCATAAAGACGTCTGGTGTGGGGGAAAATAACAGACCTGCGCAGAGCCCTGACTTCAGCCCCCTGCAACACCTTTGGGATGAACTTGACTTTGAGCCAGGCCTTATTGCACAACAACATCAATGGCCGACTTCAATGCGCTTGAGGCTGTATGGGAGCAAATCCCTGCAGCCAGGTTCCAAAATCTTGTAAGAGAGCCGTCCCAGAAGAGTGGAGGCGATTGGAGCAGCATATCATTGGCCTGAGCAGTTTCCCCATCACTCATGGGGATAATGTTTAGGTGCCCACGGACTAATTTGGTGTCCATATAATTTTGGCCATGCACTGCACTAACAATGAAGGCAAAAAAAATTAATGCCATAAAAACAACTGTTTGAGCAAAACTCAATAGGAAATTTTGATTTTAATGTTAAAAATGAACCTCTTCAAATTCAAATGTAATTTTGCCTCCTTGAGGTATAAAATCAAATTGAAGTCATATTCATGTTCAGTGGGGCAGCTCTTTAGAAAGACCCACAAAAAAATTATGGTGACAGAGGAAGAGTGTGTGTTCTGCATGAAAAAAACGGGGAGTTATGACCTGAATGTGGCTGCAATAATCCCGCTTACTGGTATTTAAGGCTGGAACAAAGAAGCTCCTCAGAGAGAGAGAGAGAGAGAGAGGGGGACAGAGACAGACAGGGAGAAAGAGCGAGAGTGATAGAGATGGAAAAAGACCACTGTCATTTCCACTGAGATCACAGCTATCCAAAGTCGGAAGTAACTTGTGGCTGCACGGTCCAATGGAAGAAAACTCCTTCTGTAGAGACGGTTTGAATACTCAGCCGGGGGAGTTTCCCTCAGCTAACAGACAGATAACTCTGAAAATTCTTCTCACTAGTAACGCCTTGTGTAATCCCCCCTGATGTAATACAGGGAAGCTCTGACGTCATGACAATGTGAACTTGATTGCTGCTCTAGGAGGATTATTAAGGTCAAGTACAGACGTAAATACAATTACAATTGCTGCTGTCGTGGCTGAACTCCATCGTCTGGTGGGATGCAAACAAGAAACACTAGGATTTTTTTTCCTATTTCAATCAATTTTGTACAAAGTGAATACAAATATGGTATATGGTGGCTGAAAGGCTTGTTTGATTATATAAAGTTTAAAAATGTAGAACAATATGCTTAGATCTGAAGTTCAAAGCATCAATGCAAACACCTGTAATTTATACAAGTGAGATGTGGGAACTTGAAGCCTGCATTGCACATACATTGAGAATGGTCTTTCAGTGATGCAGGTCACATCTTGTATCCAGTGGTTAAAAGTTAGAAATCAAAACTATTTGTATATTCATAGATTCTGGATTTTTCAATGAGAGAAGAGGCACAGGGTGTAACTGAATTTTTTTTTTTACGAGAAAACCACATCAGACACAAATTATTATTCACAGCAGAGTATTTCTATTTATATTTGAACATGCACGGTTTACCCTGCCCTGTCACAGGGATAGTAAAAACCAGCAGCTGGTTTATTAGAGGTTTGGTGTTATGACCTGTAAATCCATCAGATTAGAGATTTTGCCAATGAGAGTAGGTCAAATGAATCTGATACCGCACTTCCTTCAACGTCAGATGTGGTTTAGCCTTAATTCATTGTCTGAAGAATAAGATTAAAAATATCAGTCCCCTTAAAATTATAAAACTTCAATCACTGCTAACAATGGTGGTGGTAGGTTTGACTAAAGTTGTCAATAGATCCAAAGAAAGTTTTATAAATGTTGGATTAATATGTTTGGTTGCTAATTTTAGATGGACCCTAAATAAAAACATGAAATTAAGCTTCGTGTACATTGGAGAACAAGATACTTTTTCACACTTTACTAGAGTAAATGACCACTCTTGTCAATGTCAATATTCCCAAATAAAATAAGACAACACTTCTTTGCATTTCTAATATTGGTATGACTGAGAGACATCAATGTGTGAAGAAGCATAAAGTAGTGTGAAGTATCAAATGTCCCTGTCCCCATCTTCAGTCTCACTTCTACTGTCAATTATTTTGTGCCATCCAACTGTGACAGGCATCGATTTTCCTTGGACCAAAGCTTTACTCAAACACAACTGATGTGAGCACACCCTACTTTGGTTTAATTGAAGTGAAACTCTGGTAACTGTCAACCCGGGTATTACTGTCATATTTGTGTCCATTATGATTATTGATCATCATAACATTTTACCAGCCAAATCATTTTAGAGATTTTGGAAACACAGACTACAGCAAAAATGATTGTTTTTGTTTTTTGTTTTGATGAAGTTCACCAAGACAGGAAAATCTCAATCCAGCAAAAATCAATCAAAAGTAAAACACAAAATACAGCTTTCAGGAAATCACAACGGACAAAAACATGAGAGTAACACCTACTGTAGGTTGACTAATACCAGAATTTCCCTTTAAGTTACACTGTGGACCTGCAGTGTGGGTTTGCTTTAACTTGGGTCTTGCCTCCCCCTACCTGCAGGTGGTTCTTCTTGCCGGGAGACCCCACCATGTCCCACTGGCTACAAGACTTCTTGGGAATCCTGTGGTTGACACGACTGCTGAAGCTGCCACCCACCTCATCGTACGGGTTCTCCGTCAGGTTTTCAGGCAGGTTGCTGGAGCTCTGGCTCCGTGTGATCATGGGGACCACCCTGGGATTTGGTGGTGCTGTTTGGGCCGTGGAGGCTGCGGGGGATCCAGGGACCATGAGGTGGCCTGATAGGGAGGTGGGAGAATTGGGGGTAAAGGTGAATCCAGAAAGGGGCAGGGTGGGGATGCGCCCTCCACCTGTGCTGGTGTTGTTGTCCAGCCCCTGGAAGGCACTGAAGTTGAGGTTTTCCATGGAGCGGTAGATGGGTTTGTTCACTGTAGGAGGAAGGTTAAAAAATGATTTTATCTATTATTTTCTTTTCTTTCTATACTCAAAACATACATCAATGCACAAATCTATTAGTTTTAGACTCTTATCACACAGAATTAAAGAGTCATTTCCAGTGAAAATCCCACACCAGATGTTTTCTCAGACTCTATGTCGTCCTCTCCCACGTTACCTTGATGCTGCTCATTACAGGAAGTCGCTTTTGGGCTCGGAGAGAGTGAAACCCTTGGCAGTATCCTGAGGTTGGAGTTGAGCGAGGCAGACATTACCAGGCGCTGTGGCGAGGGCATGGGTGCAATAGGCACCTCTGTCACATACGTAGCAGGTACATACAACGGCTTTGTTTTACTGGCTGCCCCAATTCTCCGCACCTGTCAAAGAACAAACAGATTTCCAAATGCTTTTGGCTATTTTCTCCCTCATAAATCCACTTAGTTCAACCAGGCGACAACCAGCACAGCTGAGGGCTGAGGCCAGTGCGGAAGTGTCTAACACTACAGTTCCTGTAACTCCAACAGAGGCAATGAAAACACACACAAACACATACTCACACACACCACAACTTCTCTTTTGAGAGACAAAGTCAATCTTTTTTTTATGGGCTGGTGTCACTTCTTCTAGTGTGCTTCTTGGAGGCAATTTTATGATATGCACCAAGAGATAATAGAAACTAGTCACCCATCTAAAGTTTTGCTATGCTGTTTATGCCAAGCTAACTAATATCTCTTCATATTTATTATGGCAAAATTGGATTAAAGGAGTTTTGCATCAACTTGATTGACTACTTTGATTTATTAGCTATTTAAATCACTGAATATCCAAATACATACAACATAACCAGACATTTCAATCTGGTCATTTGATCTATAAATAATTCATCAATTGAATTGTGGTATAAAATTAAATGTGTAATAGAAGTTCAGAAGAAGAAGAAATTCATCCATGTTATCCATCCCTATTTGGGAATGTGTTTAGTTGATTTACAGGTTTCTCAGATTGTCACACACACAGCTGAGGTGCACATCTGAATATCTGACCCCAGTAAGTAGTAAGAAAAACAATGAAAAAATTACTTGATCCTACTAACATGTATTTCCTGTGTAGTCACAGCCTGATTTAGCTTATTCCTCTGTGCCATTGACCCACATTGCTGTCCACAAGACACCTAAAAGAGCCACACTGTCACAACAAATGTGCTAATAAATCCTGTTTGAATAGTTTTCGCTGCCTGGCTGTTTTGTTAAATAATTTAGCTTTATTTTAGAAAAAATATATATATATTTGTGACCAGTAGTTAAAGATTCTAGTCCTCAGAGAACCAATGGGCCCGAGGCTGAGAGCCACAGGCAGGTTGGGGAAGTCAGGAAGTCAGATGGACTGATGCAATTTTGTTTTTGGTCTCCTCATGGGATTTGTTGACAGTAAACATATAGAGAATATTACCAGCTTTATCCTTGACTCCAAACATTCCTTCAGAAATCAACAGAACGTTGCAGATGTTATGTTCATGTCTTTCTAATTATTTTTGGTTCCACTGACACATGAGAAATAAAAGATGAACTCTTTTCTCACCTGCCACCAGTCAGAGTTGGTCTTCTTCAGGAGAATAAACCGTTCACCCTCTCTTATGCAGACCTGGCGTCCATCGGCACCGCGGTAGTTGTAGTCATACTGGGCCTCGAGGACCACCGTCCCGCTGGGGACCCCGCACACTGTCATCCCCCTGTTGGACACCGCAGGTGCTGCAGCAGTCTGCTGATGCCCCACAGAGCGCCGCCAAGTACCAGACAGCATGGCTCACCGCGCAGTCCTGTTCAGCAGGCTTTGCTGTGAGCGTGCTGATGTGTGATACTGGAGTTACTGGTCGGGTTAGCGCAGGACAAGTGAGACTGGAGCCAGCCCAGTGCCATGCTCTGAAACAAGCACAGAGGAAAAATGGACACAGAGATACAGAGAGAGAGACAGAGAGAGAGAGAGAGATTACTGAAGCTGTCAGAGAACAATGAAAAAATGTCACCTGGCTCTGTGCAGGTTCAAAGGAAGAGAACATGAATCCTTTTAGTGCTAAAAATGGAAGTCTGGGTTAATCTGGGGAAAATCACTGACCTGTACAATAACATTAGACAATTTTTCTCTGCATCTTTTTCTTCATAAAATGTCTCTTTCTAGCAAAAACGCTAAATATGCATTGGTTCCAGTTCCTGGTATTTGAGGATTTCCTATTTTACATAATTGAAAACTAAATATCTTTGGGTTTCAGACTGTAGGCCAGATAAAGCAAGACATTTGAAGACATCATAGGCACATTGTAAACAAAACAATTAAAGGAATAGTCTGACATTTTGAGAATCATGAAAAAATTGATACCACTCTTATATATACAGTATATACACACACACACATACATATATATATGAGCAAATGATCATTTCAGCACAAGACAAAAAAAATGACTGCTACTGCCAATATCTGTAAATGAATGAATGAGTGAAATGAACGTGTTTACTTGCAGTTTACACGTCCTGTTTTAACATTCGTGACAGACACGGCTGTGGGTAAAATGTCACTGCAGATATTTGCACATCACTACAGTATACACCAGTTCTCTATTGTCGTCTCAGCCTGGTAGAACTATGCGACACGTGTGAGTAAATAACTCATGCGTTTGGAGGATATAAGGGGTGCAATATACCCAAAATAGCGTCTGTCTCCATCTCTCCACCTGAGCCAGCATCCCCAAGCTAAACCCCTGCTCTACCCAGCCAAGACCCGCTTACATAAGAGAGCATCTAACTTTCTGCCAGACACATAGCAATACAGCCTCACACAGAACATGCACCCAACCACCCCCACACGCACACTAGCATACACACAGAAAGGGGAACATCCCTAGGCACCTAGCAACAGTGCTTCAGTGACACTCAGGCCCAACCCATCTCAGTCTGGGTGATAAGAGGAGAGGTAGCGAACGAGAGAGATCCCGTAGAATTCATGTAAAAATGCATGTCATCACTGAGGACGGGACATAGAGAGGCAGAGAGGAATTAGACAGATGTAGATGGACAAGACAGGGGGGGGGGGCGGGGGATCTGGACGCCTGCAGCAAACCGAAGGAGAGCACATAGCTAGCACTAGATAAGAAATTAAGGAAAATAGAGAGGCTGAGCAGCAGGGGAATGGATGAAGCTGGATGAAGCTGTGATGCATGTGAAGCCAATGGAAGGGAGGGATGGGTTAGCTGGCTGAACCTTGATAATCCCACTGTTATTAACGCACAGGAATGACTCTGTGACCCCCACGGCCAAGGAGAATTACAGTGAAACCCCTCTCTACCAGCATATGGGCAAAAGGACTGCCTGCCTGTCTGTCTGCCAGTCTGTTTGCCTGTCTGTTTGCCTGCCTGCCTGCCTGCCTGCCTTACACTGGCAGGAATATCACTACACATCCATACCGGAACATTTACTGCTTTTGCTAACATTCGCTACAAACTACTGGCCAAACCAGACCAAGTAAGACTGCAGCAGTTAAACCTCTGAGTGTACTGAATTGAACAAGGTTGCATTTTATTTTCTTACACATTCAACTTTTCATTCGCATGCAGCTGAATGTGCTGCGTCTTTTTTCAAAAGTTACATAATCTGGCTTTCAGGCCACTATATGACACATGCAAGTTGTTTTCCTAATTGACAAGCGAGCCTGATGGAGCACGCACACAATGCGTTGCTAGCTCTTCCACTTGCAGAAAATGTCTAATGGCAGCCCATACAGCCATCGTTCACCCACACTGGTCATTTTGCTTATTTGGGATGATTATCGCTCTCCATAGGAACAAGTGAAAACATCTGTGCAGGTGTGCAGGGCCTTTAAATAAATATCACAAAGTTTTAAGTTGGTCCACGTCTGAGTTTTTTTTTTTTTTTATGTAAAACATTTAACATTTCAGTAAAACACCTCCACTCTCTGTCTTCACCTGCAAATGAATTCACTGTCACATGAAATGACGTGTCACAGAACTGACTATATTTGTGTCTGGGAGCGTCATTTAAAGCTAAATGGTGCTATGAGAAGTCCATCTGTGTGGGAATGAAACTGAATATGCTGCAGCTACCTATATTTGTGATGCTGTGTTGTACTTTAATTTATTCATCTATGTTTTTCCTGTTTATGTGAAACAGAGGATCCTTGTTACGCAAGACAAATTTCAGAACAATCTAACAATAAAGGGCAACTTGATATGATCTTATCTCATCTAAAATAGATGGCATTGTTACCTTGTTCTCAGAAAAATAACAATACGCTGACTTGCATTATAGTCTTGGGGATTACAGTTCTCAAAGGCACTTCTAAGAACTGCAGTTGATCTCAGGAGGGACAGAGGCAAAAGACAGAGGTACGAGGCAAGCAAGCAAACAGGAAACTGCGTAGACACATCAAGGTTCAACCACAGTTTGGGTCATATCCTCTCCATCTTGCCATTTGTTTTTCTGCCACAAGACAGCTTTAGCAGTTTAGTTACAGCCTGTAACAGCTAACTGCCAGTAAAGTCTGTTTTGCTGCATGTGCCAGCACAAGTGATGATTTGCTCTGCCTGTCTGTATGACTACAGCACAGCTTTGTGAGTAGCATTAATTCCTACCAAGCTGAGCCTTGAAGCAGAGAGAGGTTGTTTTTTTTTTAAGGCTGAACATCCCTGCTGCATGGCTTCAGTAATTTACTATTTAGAGGGGCAGGGAAGAATTACAACATGCCCTGGGTTTAAACAAGGTCAAAACATACAGCAATGATTATTTATACAACCTGACCTGAAGATTTCTATCATGAGCTCCTTTCCCTGCACAGACAGGAAGAGCTCTTCTGATTCTGCTGCACCTGTTTGTCTTTTCCTGTCTCTTTTCACTGCTCAGAGCAAAGGGCTATTAAGAAGAAAGCAGAAAAAAAAGAATGAATGCAGACTAAAATAATGAAACCCCTGCTGCTGTAGGGCTGTATCTAATTAAACATTTGTAAGGCAGATTGAGTAACTCAGTATCATCAATTCACTTATCAGCACAGGCGCAAAATTCCTGCACGGACACAGGAGGCTTTATCATGTCATGTGCAAATTAGGCTGTTACAGCACGGTTAAAGTCCCTGGTTGTGTTATTCAGAATTTGGACATTTTAATGATGTTCCCAAAGGGCAGCTGCTCAGACAGGGTAAGAAAAAGTCAGATATAGCAACAAATTTTAATGATAGTACTCGTCTCTGATTTACACAAGCAACCAACCATTTGAACTTAAAACAAATGCTTGAACAGATTCAGGAAATCTCCGACAAGCGTGATGTTATTTTACTGCAACTGGCAAAAGCTGCATTCATCAGCAGCGAAAATGGGATGAAGGAACAAATTCTGATGAGAACTATTTATAATCTAGAACGCATAAAAAAAAAAAAAAAAGAGGCCAGACCGTGTTTGTATTTGCAGGTCAGATGGCGGTGGAGAGGGCACGAGCGTCATAGACCCAAACACACGGAGAGGTCCATATGGTGTCAGAGACAGACACAGGCACCCTGTCACGGCTGTTGAGAGGCACTGATGGTTTGTGCCAGGGGCCGAGGGCTATGGCGTGGTATCAACAACGCAAATGGAAATACGGAGGAAATGCACCAATAGAATGAAGAGGTGAGGAATAATGAAAATTGAAAATGTACAATGAGCACAAACTTTCAAAAAAAAGAGAGAAGAAACTCGGAGTGAGGGCTGGGATACATTTGATTTGCCTGTCTGCCTTTGCTTGAGTGATTTCACTCCAACTCAGACTGTGTGTGTGTCTGTGTGTGTGAGAGAGTGTGTGTGTGCAAGCAAGTCAGGCCGAGCTGAAGGAATGGAGAGGATAGAATGTGTGCATGCATGCGAGAGAGACACGGAGAGGGAGAGGGAGAAAGAGAGAGAGAGAGATCAAGAGCAACTCACCATGGTCCTGAAGTGAGAGAGCACGTCTACGTCAACAAGGTCACCAGCTCACTCTACAGTCAGATCCATGCATGCGATAAGCCTTAAACACACACACACACACACACACACAAAAAAACATCAAGATGAGAAAACTATTCGAGTTTGTTTGAACAATGGACCTCAAGCCTGAATGGAGGAGGCACTGACAAAAACGCACAGAGCGGTCATGGCAAAAGGTGTGGCAGAAAAAAACACTACAATGGACACAAGCATAGGAGCTCCCTCCGACATAAAACCACACACAATCTCTCCTCTCTCTCTCTCTCTCTCTCTCTCTCTCATGCACACACTGACACAGACATATACACACACAGTTAATCCTATGCACCACATGATCTTTCCTCTGCTCAATGAACCCCTGCTGACCCCCATTTAGCCCGCATTTTGCCCAAGAGGTGAAAACAGAGGTAGTGACAGAGACGGAGCGAGTGAGCGTCAGCTGGCATGTCACCCGGCCGCGCGAATAAACCTATAATTGCACTTGAGAAAGAGGGACACGCAGAGAGGGAGAAGCAGAGCGAGAGAGGTCCTGTGCGCTGACCAAACAAGCGGGCCAGCCGATTGATCGAGCTATTGATCCATGCACAGAGCTGGCTGGTCAACGGTGCCACTGGAAATCAGAGATCCACCACACGGGCGGTTAGAAAATCCACCACACGGGTGTTAGCAGTGGAGCAGAGAACATTATGCTTATCTAAATCATCTTAGGACGCTATACCATCATCATTTTACATTTTCAGTCGAATCAACTATCCTGAAAGACCACTGGATTAAATACTTTAGGGATTATAGGCCCTCCTGGTGGTTTTGCATGTTTTAGTAAAACGTTTTCCAAAGCATACATCAATTTTTAGATTAACGCCATTAAGGTACGAAAGTCTACTTGAAGAGCAATATATAAATAGTCTGCTTTTGTATAATAATTTGTGTCTGATATGGTATATTTTTCATTTTCAAAAGTTTAACCACTGCGTATACTTCACTGAAAAGTCCAGTGTGCTAGAGGTTTCAGGTGATTAAAGCTGAGTGCAGAGAAAATCTCCCTCTTCAAGCAGATAAGTGTGAAAACAGTCTTCTAGTGTGAAACAATGACCAAAACCCTGTTTTTTAAAATCTTTTTGTCTAAGTAGCGTTATCATCTCATCTCATCCCGCAGTTGCAGGCAACTTTTGTTTGTTGGTGTCTTCAAGGACACACTGACATCTGAGGGAGACATGCTTTGGTAGTAGTGTAAACTATACACAGTATGTAGTTTGTGGTCTAAGGCGTGAATGCAAAACACCTGAAGATGATGTTATCGTGACACCTTTGAGAACACCCTAAGGCGAGAGGGAGAATGCAAATTACCACAAATTATATGGGGGATAAAACAAGCAGATCATGTTGAGGGAGCGTTTCTAATGCTGAAAGAGCACCTGAGACGATGTATGACAAGTAAACTGGGAGAAAGCTGCAATGCTCCATCATCGCAGATGTCATAACTGCTCCAAACAACTCTATTTCAGGTCTCACAAGCTCAGCTCTCACAGAGTGTTTATGATCACAGGGGCCAATCAAACTTCACCACGCAGCAGGGCGAGAGTGGAGTGAAGGGTGTTGGTGCAAAGTTTGGTGTCATATCATATCCATATTCATTCCATATGTTTGAAGTCGAAAGAGGGTGGCTTTAATAATCATAGCTACATGGTCTTCAAAGAGAGATGAGACATGGGGAAGAGGAGTATATAGTGAATGAGGAACTTCAAAGGGTTTCTGCATGCACTCCCACATCCGTATACACATAGCAAACACACACACACACACACACACACACACATGTAGACTGTACTGTATTTACATATGTATGTCTATTACCAAAGGGTTCACATGTAAATGAGAGAAGAGAACAAGTTTCTCCACATGATACACACTGTTCAGTAACTTTGAGGGTCACAAAAACAAGTAAAAAAAAAAAAAAGACATTTTAAGTTACCAGGACAGCTGCTCAAACATCCGTCTCAGCCAAACAACCGCTCATATCTAAGTACTTCAGTGTGGTACGAGCCATGCTGCCTGTGCATGATCTCCATGTGCAAACAAGCATCCTAGTTTGTCTGCTCAACTGGCTGTTTGAGTCCCAACTTGCAGTCAAGTAAGGCTGTATGAGATTACATCATACAATCATACATTATGGATAAAAGGAGTTGTAACACAGCAGTATATTTTTGGAATGAGCACAGAAGTGCCTTGAAATTTTCCTAAAATCAATGCTAAACCAAACAGTGTGTAACAAAACTTTAACTGAACTACACCTGAAACAAGTGAAAAGATCACACAGTGAAACCTTAAACTTTCAAGGCTTGAGGTGTCATGGTATACTGGCATTGACGTTAACTGTGATATTTAAACATTGAAAAATATGTTAGGCCTTGTGGATCTTTTGTTTATCACTTTGTCTGGTTGCCTTTTAACTATCCATTAAGTGTAATTGTTCTTTTTGTATGCTTTTGTACAGTTATGGTTAGACTCTCTCTCGCCCTCTCTCTCTCTCTCTCTCTCCGCCTCCCTTCACTAATTCATTTACCAAAAAAGAGACAAAACACACAATTAACAAAGTCAAATTTGAATTTGACTGATAGCATTGTTATCATTATTATTATTTTCAAATTTCCTAAACCTTTAACATTTAATACTTACTTCTAGCATTTATCAGTCAACAACTACAAAGTGAATGCGGCTGCACCGAAAGTCAAGTCCGATTTTCCTACATATCCAAAAATAACATCTTCTTCTTTGAGCGGTTTAATATGTGCAACATAAAAGAATGTCTACCCTTAGACACTCAGTTCAGACAAAAAAAAAATCACTTTCCTTATATCGATAAATTTATCAATTTACATCCTTAGTCTGAAATCAGTCCACCCTCAGCCTGATGAGCAGTTCTTCTGAGGACAGTCATATGAAAGAACACTCACTTTGTCTGTGGATGTACAGTTATAACTACTAGCGCTGATGTCTCTCTCTCCATATGAGACACATGCCTCAAGCCAAAACAGCCTTTCATCCTCCCAAAGCCATGCATTATTGATGATTAGACCAGAGAGAGACAGTGAAACACACACTGCGTTTCCCAGTGTGACGGCTGGCTGCCTTGGTGAATGTGTACGTGAATGCATGTCTGTCTGTGTGAGTGTGAGAGAGAGAGAGAAAGAGAGACTAAACAGGTGGGCTGGAGTCTCTCAGTGATTAGCTGTGTAAATTGTCAGTGAGCCAATCAAAAAGCGGATGATGACAGTAAAGCAGCCATTGGCTCATTCTTGCTACTATCATCATGACAACAACCTCTGTGACCAACTACCATCTCCACTGTCTCCAGTATGTGTGGTGTTTTTTTTGTTTCTTGTTGCATATAACAACATTTTATATGTGTGATGCCATCATTTCAAGTATTTGCTGACGCAATACTTGTGTTTACAATGAACCCTGCAGCCTGCATCGACACATAGCAAACTTCTTCAGAGAGCTCACTCCTGTATAATATTCAAGTTCTCATTTCCCTTATTTGAATATAAACAACAACCAGACAGACCAGTGTTAGGCAAAGTAGTGCAGGATTGCTCAGGGGGCATTTTAAACACTCGAGAGAGAATTAATTCAAGCATCACATTTTTTAATTAGCTTAAGCATTTTATAGAGAAAAAGAAAAAGGAAGGTGAAAAACATACAGCCAGCTTACTTTTAGTTCAAGAATAATACGCTTATTTTAGTAAGAGAAATAAGCTCTTGAGAAAAGTTTCTTGTTTCAATAAACACTAAGCAGCTTTTCTTATTATGTCCTCACCTTATGGATTTACTTTTAAAACACTATTGAGATATGAATCACATGTTTTCAGGTGATTAAATGACCTTACATTCTTTTAATTAATCATTCAAAATCCATTCATTCATTTTGAATTATTCATTCAAAATATCAGAAAATAGATCAAAGTTATCGAAACAGTTTCCAAAAGCCCAAAGTGACGTCTTCAAATGGCTTGTTTTGTTTGATGAACAGTCTTCGATATTCCATTTACAACAATATAAAACACAGAATAGCAGGATCTCTGCTCATCTGAGAAGCTACAGCAGGTCATTGTTTGACTTTTTTTTTTTAAAAATTACTGTCAATTAGTGGCATGACAATTATATTTTTTTGTCAATCAACTAATTGATTAATTGACTAATCTTTTGAACACTAGGGATAGAAACGATTCATTATTTCAAGATTTTGTCTTTCATGCCTTTCTCAAAAGAAATAAAACTACAGTGTAGCACTGTCAAGTTATCAAAGCACATTGATTAATTTTGTTGCTAAAGACTGAATATAAGACTAAGGTTTCCAAGTTATAGACTTTGCAGGGCATCGTTTTTTTTCTGGAGTAGTCAAACAGAATAAAATTAAAAAATTATTTGATATTCTATGTGATATAAACCAAAATAAACAATAATCATGTTTTATTGACGAGGAAAGTAATGTTTGACCAACACTGTGCATATTGTTGCTTAAACTCATATATCAAGTAATGACAAACAAAAAAGGCATTCTTCTTTCACAATATTCCTACAACAGCCTTCCAATTGAGGAAAATAAAATATCGCATAGAAGTAAAGAATTATCTTGTCGAGAATAAAAAAAAAAAAAAAAATCCCTTCGCTCTGTGACTGGGCTGGTGGGTTGTTGCTGAGCCTGTTGGAATGTGCGGTACATTGATGTTTCTAATGAAGAGTGCTGAGCTCCATTGATCCACCAGGGATGAGAGTGAGCTGTCAAAAGCTATCAGGCAAGTCAAAGACCCACTTTCAGCCCTGCACAGCTGAAGTGAGCATGATACTGTTGGGGCACAAGAAGAGCAGCCAAACCTCTGAAGGCGAATGCTACAGAGAGGAGGCACACATACAGACACAGCTTTGATGCATACAGAGAGGTTAACGGGGTTATTTGTTCACTACAGGAACATTAGACAAATAACAATATGGGTTTAGGATGTGTCAAACACTGGTGGAGTGTTTACCCATGGTGCCCTCTGGTATGTTAATTCAAGTATTTGCAATTGTTCTTCTAAAAAATGTCCTTCCATTTTTCCTCCTTTAATTCACTGGATACATGCACAAGGGCTGCGACTAAAAATTATTGTCATTATTACTCAATCTACGCATGATTTGTTTAATTAATCAGCAAATTGTTTAGTCCATAATAAGTCAAACACTAGTAAAAAACTGCCCATCAAACCTTTCTAGAGTCTAAGGTGATGTCTTCAAATGTCTTGTTTAGTCAACAGAAACTCCAAACCCCACATACTTTACAAGAGCATGTGATAAAGAACAGCACCAATTCAAGAAGCTAAAACTGGAGAATGTGCAGCATTTTGCACTATTCCTGCTTGAAGAATGACTGAAATTATGAATCAATTATCAAAATAGTTCACCAGTTCATTTCCAGTTGATCAACTAATCAATGAATAAACTAATTGTATATATTTTCTAATTCAAAGTTCTTCTGGAAATATGAGTGTGTGTGAAACAGCATGCAATTGAAAGTGATTATTCTTTAGAGCGCTTTGATGATAATGTAATCCATAGTGCTGCACCTACAGTATGCATAATACAACCTAGGGAAAGCACAAATGATTGCACAGAAAGTAAATGCAGGATTAGACTGGATTAAAACACAGCACAGATGTGAATGCAGGCGCTACTATACTGCAGTCGAGATATAGGAAGCTGCCCTGATATAGACAGTAGCTACAGTATAGTGACTGAATAGGAGAACTGGTTTGAGTATCCGTTTTCAGAGTTCAGCCACATGCCACTGTCTTTCAGGTTAATGACCTGTGTAAAAAAAAAAACAAACTGAACTCAAACTGATTCTGATCGTTTTCTTTTTAGGTACCTAACAAGCAGTGACAATATATTGAGACAAATGTCATCCGTGGAAAGCAGAGTCATAAAAATCCATACTTGCTAGACATCATTAGACAAGATTAGGCTAAAATGATGCTCAACTTCAGAGTTTCTTAACCTTGGGGTTAATGGGCTACATAAGTGTATGTATTATAAATAATAATTAATGTATTTGAAATATGCTATAGTTTCTAAATCTGTTGGAGCCACCCTGCGCCCTTGAAAGTATGCCATTTAAAATCACATGACTAGCTCTGGGTCATGGGAAGTTTTTGAAACACAGAAATGGGGTCGCAGGCTGGAAAAGTTCGGAAACCTTACTCTGACGAGAGCAGATTTCATTGACAAACAGTTCAAAAATCATTACAAGTTTATCACAGCTAGAGTACCTTCAACAGACCAGTGTGATCTGGAGAGCTGAACCAGCAAATAAATATCTGACTCTCAGATGTGGAGTTTACGATTGTTTTGAAGGGCCAGATGTCCCAAAACTACATGCAGAAACACCTTTGTGTTGTGGCTTTCACGTGGTTCGTACAGTGCAAAGCAAATAAGTGAGATGAGGTTTTTCTACACTTTGTGATCTTCTACTGTATATTTTTTGCACCACAGACACAACGCAAACACACACACACACACACACACACACACACACACACACACACACACACATTTCACACTTAGAAAAAAAGAGTTAGATGACAGACTTGCACTGGAATAATCTGACTAGTAACACACCACAATGTAAAACGCTTCAGTCTCGCAATCTCACTGTGACACTGCATCCACAACAGCAATCTGTGGAGCACACTAGTAATTACAGCAAACTTGTAACCCTCCTGCTAATACTGCACATGGTACAGGGCACTTTTAATCAGCAAACTTGCAACTGGAGAATAATCTTTCAAGCCTGTGTCGTCACAGGCTGGTGAAAAAGGGAGCAAATCTCCTGCTTTGCATGGACTTAAAACAGATTATGAAAAAGCAAAAATGCAATGCGTCAGTCAAACTGTTTCCATCACGCCCTGTGGTTAACCCATCCATGCACTTTCTGTGTAGCATGTAAGGGCTAACTCGCTTGCAGAAGCATGCAAATATTTCCGCATGTGAAAAGGTCTGTTTTATGTAAAGTGCTGAGATTAGCAATTCTTCATCAGTGTGACATTCGCAGAGATGACCAAATATGAGGTCATGATATCAGCATCATCATAGTGATGATGTACATTGAGCAGTAGGTATACATAGGCTAAATTAAAAGGAAAAAAATCTGAAAAGTAGTTCATTACATGTCAAAAAGTATATATGGGGAAGGGTTGAACAGGAAACTCTAAAATGTATAGCAGTCTTCCACAGGAAATGGTTGTAGGCTGAAGTTGGCCATTTGTGACTCTTGCAGTGCCCCAGCTGAGTTTAAGCGGCTGTGACAGTATAGGCTAAATGTGGTTTGACACTATGATGTGGAAAAATGTGTTGTTTTGGAAAAGCTGAGCTCGCTATTTTAGTAACTGGGGAACTGTATAACTTTTTTGTGGCCTGATTGGCCAACAACTTATTTTTTTGCACAAACTTTACAGTAGATGGGAGCAATGTCATAGACTATATTGTAATTTTATCAGCTTTAAAAGTATTATGCATTTTTCCAAATAAAGCATAAACCATGATTGTACAGAATGGGGATTATTAAGCAAAATTTTAATTAAAGCCATGAGACACATTGTGATAATCTTATTCCTACTGATATGAGTTGCTTCTGTTGTAAGTCTGGATGAGATATTAGCCCGATTGAGAAGTAGAGATTTTTTAAACCTGTAGACAAATATATCAGCTAACAAATTAGTGTGAACTCACAACTTTAAAAGCATTTATCTTAAATAAATCTACCATGTATTTCAGCCTACTTATCTAATGAATTTGAATTCATTTGCATTAATAGCACAGTAGACTTAAATACCGATAGTGAGCATTACAGAAGCACTTTTATCTTGCATATATCCTAACCATTTTCAATGTCAGCAATATTTTGCAGGAAATAAGTTCTCTGACTAGTCAAATTAGCAGATATCTAATCTTTGAATTTGAGGGACATAACATCACTCACCGTGCAGCGACGAGATGACAGCTCAGTTGTGTTTTTGGAGTGAACTGCAGACACAGCAGGAGTTACGTCTTGGGTAGTTTGCTGCGCTTTTCTCGTGGGAAGAATAAAAATATTGAAAACTTCACATAATTTACGTGATGGAAAGCACATAGGAGATATATATATAGATATATAGGAGATAGGAGGTCATATAGTGGCATTAACTTGCTCGATACACTCCATGCCTGTACAACCTCCGGGCTCTTTAAGCGGATAAAAATATAGCTTGTGCTGAGTGGGTTTGGCGGTTTAAGATTGGCTACAATATGATTTTACACGGGACCAATCAGAAGAGGCGGTGGTGCGCACATTTTATTGCCACATGCCGCCCGGAGTACAATGGGCAAACATGAGAGATGCTTCCCGCCCGGCGGCGCTACAGTGTGATTTAAAACAAGCAGGGCCACTGTGCAGCGAATTTACGCTCCGGGAAATGGTTTATGGGAGATGTAGTCGTTTAAGCAGACCTCTACTGTTTCTGACAACGACACAGACACTGCTCCAAAACTACAACTCTGTCATTTGTAACGCGCCGACATTGCTTGCATCAGCTCTCGTGAAGTAGACAGCACTCGCCGGTAAAGTTACCACGAGTAGCTCCCTGTCTTGTGTTATAGTAAAAACATTGTCACTATTAAAGCCAGCCACCATTCCTAACATAGCGGAGTAGCTACAAACGACCAAATGAAGCTCTTCGTAAGTGAAGGCAACCCGCACTGCCTGAAGGTGTTAGCCGCGTTAGAAGTGACTGGAGTTCAGTGTGACGTTCAGTATGTTAACCACGAAGGTAAGAAAGCATGGTTAGCTTTATTATAATATGTGGACCTAAATGTAATGACGACTAACGGCAGCTGTCGTTTGGCTAAATCATTATATGTAACGTTTGTTTTGCCAAGTTTGAGCTGAATATGTGCTGTAACTGACGGTTGCTACCATGGGATAGCATGCTAGCTGTAAGTGACAACTGCCTGTCAGTGTCAGTTACAATGAATGGAGTGAACAGTCCACTTGTATCTGCGTCTGAGAAGCAGCTAGAAAAGTCTTTCTGCACATCACTGCTTTGTTTCCCTTATTTTAGCAGTGTTTGATTGAACAGCTCCACGCAAACTTTGTTTTGTTTATTTATGGATAGTTACAGGTGTTGAGCCTCTACCTGTACAGTATATATATATATATATATATATACACACACACACACACACCTGGATACTTGATTTACTTGGACGTTTGTAAAGTTTCAGGGCTGTGTCATCGTTTGTTCCCCCCAATATCTTGATATGAACAAAAATGATTGTATTCTGGGGATGATAATTAGTGCTTTCAGCCCTTTTTTTCTTTTTCTCAATTTCCAATACCAATCAAGTTAAAAAGAAATCTAGAAAACACTATATTTAAACACCATCCTGTGTGATTACAAATGACCATTGTCAATGCGCTTGAGGTTTTTTTCATCCCATCAGATTCTGTCTGTCAGTGTTGTGGTAAACGGAAAATGTTTTACCAAAGCAACAGGACTAGCAGGAGTTCTGGTTCAATATCTGAACTGGCAAAACTATGTGGACAGTCAGCATGCACCCAAGAACAACCCTTGACACACCTCAACCCAAAAACCTGAAAACGTTTTTGAAAAAAAGGGTTGCTTATTATGTCATGTTGTAACTTGTGTTGACTTAGACAAATGTCCATATGAAAAGCTTAATATTGATTTAAACTAAATCACTCGTCCCTCCATTAATAGTCTTGTGACTAATGTCTGACTCGCTGTTCTGATCTATAGCTGACAATGTTTTCAAAAGACAGGCTGTTCTATACAATAAGTCCACTCTAGGCTAAGTTCAACAATGAGTTTGACATGATGTATTGTTTGAATTGACTACTGACACAGAATACAGCTGGATCATATCATATGGGCTGTATATTTGTTTAGTTATTATTCCTGGAGACTTAGGTTATTTCTAACCAATTCATTGTGCAGTGGAACATCATCAAGCTGTGTAAAAGAATTAGACTCTAATTAAATGGTAATTCACCCTAGCCTTAGGCTTATGGCCTGATTGTCTCAGACATGTGAGGGATGCTTCACTCCCTGTCCCAGATGTGTGCTAGTCCTCCTTAGGAGCTGGATCACAGAGATGAATAACCAGGACCATCTGGCATGCAGCCACAGTGCATGAATTAATGGACTGTACCCAGAAATACACATACACTAACAGTACTATGGTTGTAGTTGAAAAATCCTTTAAACAATAGCTGTTTTTTGTTATTTATCCATTGTTCTATACACAGTTTGAAATATTGCATTACATTTTGAAATATTAACTAAGGTAAATATCATTTAGAAAAAAAAAATGGAAGTGTTATTGTTGCTGTATTTATGCAGGATTAAAATTGTATTGAATCCTTGAGCCACCATAAAACCAGTAAATTGAACCATCAAAGTAGAAACATCTATAAAAAATGTAATCAGAATCCTCTCCTGTGGTGATCTGCCCTGACTTCTGATGAATTCCAGATTAAAAAGATCAAATCTTTGACCTTCAGTTTGACCTTTGTGTTCTTCATGGACCATTCAAGTAACTTTGCTGATAAATATTAAGGCTCAGAATGTGATCACAGGATTATCCTCGAAGCATTTGAATGTTATTACTTCTCCTTGAAGTTGCAATGTTGAATTCTCTCTCTTTAAAGTCAAAGCCATTAGAAAGAGGATTTACAGTTTGTATCAGAATCTACCACCCAGGTAAAAAATCCAGTCCAGTCCAGAAACATGCTCACAGACATAATAATCTTGTCTGATGTATCTTATTTTATTCATAATTATCCAAACAAACTCACAATCTCTTTTTCTCTTTTGTTTTTTAGAGACAGTGGTGCCCTTCCTTAGCCGTCCAGCTTTGCCAGCCATGTTCCTGCCTAGTGGACTATATCTTTTCAGCGCCAATGCCATCTGCCAGTCAGTAGACTATACACATAGTCCTTTCTGCTTGGTCATTTATGAATGTCAGTGCCAATTAGGCATGAATGTGGATGCTGTTAATCACTGACTCTGTATAACGTTTCAGATATCCAAGATTCTTACCCTAATTTGTACCTAGCCATGCAAACAGCTTTGTCTTGAATTTTCCAGGTTTTATTGCTGAGCCCCCAAAATTTAATGGCAGCAGAAATCTTAATCTCAGAGCCTAGGAAAATAAAAACAAAACTATCTGCATGGCTAGATACCATTAGAGTTTAAAGGAAAAAAAGATTGTTTTTTGTAATTTGGTACTTGGGAACACTAATTTCAACAGTTTTTTTCTGTTTCAATGGTAATTAAAATGGAAATTATAAAATTGCAATGATATGTATATACCAGAAAGATATGGTAATGTGTTGGTTTGATTATACTAAGTTAATAATATAAACTAAAGCCTCACAGTAACGGACTGAAAGGTTGATATTTAAGATTTGTCTTACTGTGCATTGTAACTCATGAAGAGGGAGCACATATGTTGAAGATACCTGTATTTTAGGTGTATTTGTTTAACACAAACTCTCTTTGAATTTAAATGAGCTAAAACTGTTTGACAGGACCTTGTTCTTTTTTTTCCACAACCTCAGATACTTGTTTGAAGTAAATGGACAAGAATCCAGTGAGCTTTGCAGTCAGTGGCTTGAATGGGAGGCCACAGATCTACAGGTAAACTCTACATAAAAATAACCTTCTCGCTTGCTTGAAATCTGCTGTACAAAACACCAAACCTCTTTTGAGATGCAAACTATTTTTATTTCATGCATTTGTACAGTCTTTTGTATAGAATCCTCTTACTGTGCTTCAGTGTGTCACCAAAGGGGACATAAATCCATGCAGCTAAATGACTAAAACTTACACTCTCAAAAGAACAATGAATAGAGACCAGTGTTAAGAGATCTATCTGTATGCTCAGTGTAGGGTTTAAGGAGGCATTTATTTAACCTTAGTCACACTTCTTTGGTTCACTGCTTGATCTAATGTCATTCGATCAATTGTAATTAACCTCTGTTTTGTCTTATTTGTGCAGCCTGCACTGCTGCTGGCTCTTCACATGGCAGTGCTGCAGGGAAAAGGTTCACAGGTGTCTAATGTCCTCCAGGGGCCCCTAAACTACTTGGACCAAAGCTTGAGCAAAGGGAACACGCCATATTTAACAGGGGTACAGTATTAAAATCTCCTGTTCAGCTGTTGTATTTCCTATTTTCTACTGCCCATTTAGTTTCCATATACACTCACTCAAACAAAGCCTTTTCCATCGATTTAATATATGATCAAGTCAAAAGTTCATGATGCCTCTTTGAAAGCTCAGCTGAGCTTTACTGAGCCTCCTGAGTGCCACATCAGGCTCCTCCGGCAACATTTCTTTTTCTCCTCTTCTTTTTTTAACAGCTGATGCTGAGCTAGTGATGCATTTTTAAGTTAAAAAGATTCATCTGGGGAGGAGGTCCCTTATGTTGCAGATGTGTGAGTGTGGGGGTGTGTGTGCGTGTGTGTGTGTGTGTGTGTGGGGGGGGGGATCAGTTCTCTGTGGTATTTGCAGCCCCTGTGGCAATAGGTCATCTACGTCTGTCATATATTTCATGTGTACAGAAATATGTATTGTTGAGTCTCTTGGTGATATGCATGGCTTGGATGAGGAGCCCCGTGTTAAGCTAAAGAAAAACTGTGGCAAGCGTCACAGTGAGGCAGTTGCAGCAGTGTATATACAGGTGCTGGTCAATAAATTAGAATATCATCAAAAAGTTGATTTATTTCAGTAATTCCATTCAAAAAGTGAAACTTGTATACTGTACACATTCATTCCACACAGACTGATATATTTCAAGTGTTTATTTCTTTTAATTTTGATGATTATAACTGACAACTAATGAAAACCCCAAATTCAGTATCTCAGAAAATTAGAATATTGTGAAAAGGTTCAATATTGAAGACACCTGGTGCCACACTCTAATCAGCTAATTAACTCAAAACACCTGCAAAGGCCTTTAAATGGTCTCTCAGTCTAGTTCTGTAGGCTACACAATCATGGGGAAGACTGCTGACTTGACAGTTGTCCAAAAGATGACCATTGACACCTTGCACAAGGAGGGCAAGACACAAAAGGTCATTGCTAAAGAGGCTGGCTGTTCACAGAGCTCTGTGTCCAAGCACAT